CTGCCCCAAAGGCCAATGGACGTCACCGTGGGCCTTGGTGTGCTTTTTCGGAGCTTGCGACAGCTGAACTGTGAGACTTAGACTGAAACAGGCCTGATTTCTTTGCCAAGTTGCAGCTCACGAAGGTGGTCCAGGCAGGTTTGGAGGTCTTTCTCCTAGCTTTGGGAGTCTGGCCGACGGCTTTCTGTGCCAGTCTTTCCCGTCAACTCAAAAATGTTCGGCCGTCAAACAGTCCCAGAATTGGCCCATCGCAGTGCTCCTCATGATACCCTAAGGAGATGTACTCGCCGTCGGACCTGCACAATAGCTCCCTTCGAGTCACCTTGCTCTAAGCACCAAGGGTCAGTGTAAAGAAGTGATACAGCAACAGACGTGCTGAACCTGGATATTGCCAGGCCTTCCTGATCCAGAAAGATCCATGGAGAAGACAGAGACATCTAGTGGCAGGAGAACTGGTAGGGCATCAAAGGCCTGGAGACAGCCAGCGGCGAAGCGGCAACAGAGTCGAGTCTTCCTCATGCTTCTTGAGCATCCAACCTCCAGTCTCGATGAGCAGTTCCCGTGCAGGTACACCACACACGGCCTGGCCTCAAACGCAACTGGATCTTGGGTCTGGCCGGTCGTTCTAAGCATTGCAACGGGGTTGGGGGTGGGGGGGAGCAGCATTCGCTCTCCCCCGTTTAACAACAAACACAAATGGCAGCTGATGGCTTTTCGGCCTGAAGATGGCTAGCGTAAAGGAAAGGCGGACAGTGCTTCCAGATCCAGCCCTCAAGAATGCACAGCTGGCCTCTGCCACACCTTTTGCGGGAAGAAAGTGGCTGCATTGCAGCACTCCTGAAAAACACCAAGGAATGTGCAGCGCAACTGCCTGGATGATGGGGGCATACAGAAAATATATCAAATGAGCAACCCATCCAAGCAGGAAGCTTTGCGGTCGCACTGATCCAAACAATCACAGGGAAAAAGGAACTCATGGGAGTCCAGAAAAAGCAATGCGCACGTGACACAGCACAAAGCACGCACGCTCTCACTCTCCTCTGCTGCTGGTGAGCTCAAGGTCATGCCGGATGTAAACGTGCTTACCTGTGACATGTCAAATGTGCTATCAGCGACTGACACGCAAACTGGATTTCTTCACCATGGAAATGTAGGTCAAGCTGCATTCATAAACACATCTTGCCACTTGGGCGTTCCCCTCGCAGGAAAAGTAACAGAACAAAGGCATATTCAAAAAAGGAAATCACTAGAAAGTCATTTAAGGCATTGGGATTTCAACGAGCTTTTGGGCAATGCGCCAGTGACGCCCTTCCCTAGTGTGTCCGTGCCTAGTCGGAACTTGTCTGGTCCCAGCTCATCTGGAGAGTACCTATTTCCGAGTCGACATGTTCCTTTTTTGACGTCCGGAAGCGGAGATTCAACATGTTATTTTCTTCAAGGAGCACCATGAACAAAATATATACCCGTCTTTAAGATTCCTGAAATGTCCGTGGTGGTGGACATGCGCGACAGGGCCCTGTGCAAACAAGCTGAATACAAAAGCAAAATACACAAAGTCCTACAGCTAAAGCATTCCTGCGATTTGAGTCAATGCAATCAGTACTTTCTGAGATCCAGGCAGGTCCCTCGGTGGCCGGATGACCATCTTCCAAAGCATGTCATAGACATCTGTGAAACGCCATAGCCACGAGGAAGTCCTTTGGGACGTAGCTGCGTTGCGAAACGCAGCGCAAGTACTTGGCATTTCGTGCGCTCCCGAGTCCCGAGTTCCAGGCGAGAACTGCTGCTCCCCCATGGGATTATGGGCACCAAGCCTTTGCAAGAAAACTGCAGCGCCAAAGGGCGGATGCATTCTCGCCTGTTTCAAGTCACCTATCAATAGGTCGCGTTGACCCAGGAAGGCATGGGCAAATGGGGTTGTCTCCCCATGTCCTCTCTGAACCGCATATATCAATATAAATAATGTAGGGAGAAAGAGAGTACCGTCAGTTGCTCCCACTGCAAATGTCATGTCTTCTCTGCGCGCCTCACATTGGATGATGCTCATGGCTAGGCCATTTGCAAACGCTAGAGCCATTCTGGCACTGCGGCTCCAATGCTGCCGCAAGGTGTCAGGGTAGGAAACTTGTTAGGGGGACACAAGAGCATGACAAGCGAGGTCCTGCTGCGCTCTGTTCATTGCTTCTGCATCCTTTTTGCACTTGAGGCATCTGGCATCTCGCTCCAAGCTCCCTTGCAGGAACCGAAAATACGGCCCTGTATCTTCAAATGGAACGGAAACTTGGGCATTGCCTGGTGGAACATCCTTTGATAAATGCTTAAAGAGCTGACTACTCTTCGAGCCAGCCAATACTAGCTTGCAGTCTGTCTGTGAGCAATGTGAGAGCGTGTACAAGTCGGAGTAGCTGCGTGGACAATCACAGACAAACGCTGGGCGAATTTGCTATGAACAATATGGGTAGCCATATTCGGGCGTGGCGGCAGTACGCCGTCTGCGCTGCCAGCCCTGCGTGCTCCTGAACCGCCCCCGATTCCGCGTCAGGCTTCAATTTATGCAAAACTGATTTCCGAGGGAGAGAACTAAGAGGATGTCATGCAATGCCTGGTTTCTCAGAGACTACATGCAAGCTTCTCTACACGGTAATCCATGGTTTCCTTTCTTTTTTGGCGTGCGCAAGCCGTACCCCCCCTCCTCTCAGCTGCGCTTTTCGAAGGCTGCCAGTCGAGCCTCCATGTCCTGGCGTTAGGCGTCGAACTGACTTAAGAGGACACATCTTGATTCGACGTTCGGGGGGTGGTTTGGACAATTGTCCTTTTAAAGGGACCGCGTCCCTGTCAGGTTCCATATTGATTGGTGTGAGGGTAAGTGTCTTTGGAGATTCATCTTCATCCCGAGAAGCCCTGACTTGTGCTGGGTTCACAACATGCCAGCACGGAGACCAATTAATATGTCCTCCCATCCCCTCAGGTTACTGTCCTTGAGATCTGGGTCTGCCTTCATCTCCTTGTTGCTGTATCCGAACTCCGTTCGCAGCTTGGCCTTAATTGTGGCTGATGCACTGCATGTTGCACTGCATGTTGCACTGCATTTGCTCTGCATTTGCACTGTCTTTCTGCACCTTGTAGATCTCAATCTCGCCCTGGAGCTTGGCGAAGTCCTTCTGCTCTTCAGCGCTCAGCGGGGTTTTCTTCTTGGAGTCCTTGGGCGCCGAAGGCGCCGAAGGCGCTGAAGGCCGACACCATGTGTCAATGTGCGTGCGATGCGTCCAGTGCCCGGCCTTCTTGGCATCCTTCTCCTTCTTGGTGCTTCCAGGGTCCAGCTTCTCCTTCAACTCGGTCATTCGGTTGACCATCTTGACAACCTTGGGCTGCTAGAGTGCTCTAGAGCATTTCAGCAGTCATAACGGGCCAGCATGCTGGCACGCACTGTTTGAACTTTGGGAGAACTCTGTAGAGTCGTACAAAGTATAGCAAAGGACTGCTGAGAGCAAGGCCTCTTCATCCTTGTTCTGCTGACCACCGCTCATGCCTTGCTCCTGGCAGCCCGGTTCACGCATCACAAGACCACCCATCGCAATGTAGGCACAGTTTGGTAAGCAACAAGTGGGCAGAACTACATGAGCCTTCAGGATTGCCTTCCTCTCCACGATTGCCTGCTTCAAGTCATCCAGCTCCTGCAAGGCAGCAATGCAAAGTGCAGCAAAAGAGAGTGGCGCCACATGCGCGTGAATGGCAAAGTGCCACGCCAACCGCCGACCGCTCACTGCATTCGGTGAAGACAGTCCTTGGTTTCCGCGGGGCTGAGGCCTGCCGATTCCTTCTTAGTCTCCTTCTTGATCTCCTTCTTGGCCTTCGCTTGGTGCTGGCGTCGAGATAGACTCTACAACCACAAGGTGCGGAAGCCTTCTAGTGCGACAGCCAACGAAGCAAAACCAATCTTTCGGCCAATGAGTCGCTTGTGAAGCCTTGACAGTGCTTGCGAATGCCTTAGAATGCTTAATGCCTGAGGCGTGAGCTCCGTTTTTCCAGTCTCTTGATCTGGGTGTGTCCTTTTTTGGGGGCATCCCCTTTTGGGATGGTTTTGAAGGCGTTTTGAAGGCGTTTTGAAGGGGTTCTCCTGTTTGTAGGGAAGTAACAGCTAAAGCCCGGAAAGACCCTGAGTGAAGAAACGGTATTGGGCCGTCAAACAGCAATCCGCAATCGGCTGGTTTGGGACATGCGCCTTCTCCTTTGTCTCCTCCTGGACAGCCTTCTGAGCCACAAACACCTCCGCAGCCTGAAGTGGATGCTCGACTCGACGACTCCAGGGCCCTATTCACGCTCGCCTTGGTCACGAAATGGCCGAACTTGGGTTCCAGTCCCTTGACGATCTTGCAGGCGTCCACGTAGCACTGCTCGGCCTTCAGCTGAGCCGCCTGCCAAATTAAGCCGCTGCCGCCTGTCAAGTATGTGAATTGCTGCCGCCTCTTTGCCCTTTGCTGCCCGCTCCTTCTTATTGTCCTGGCTGTCTGCATGAGGTATTGCAGCCCGAGCCAACAGGAAGGTATCATGGCACCCAGCATCAAAGAAGACAAACAGAAGTGTGGCCAGCCCAATGCGATTGTGTGGACAGCCGGATGAGTACAACTTGCAAATCGCATCCACACTCGTTCAGTGTGTGAGACCATCATTCACATTCATGTGTTCTGATGTCTTCAGTGCATACTGTGTCTTCGCAGTGCCTCCGTGTCCGTGGCAATCGGGCTGAAAATGAGAAGGGACGAATGCATGAGACTGACACAAGCAGACGCCTCCCACTGCACCAGGCCATTTTTGCACACCCTCTCACACAGTGACACTTCATGCTTGCAATTTGCTATCAACTAACACACATCCGCACTCTGTGTGTTCTCCTCCGAACCAGTCTGATCTATCTGGATAGATTGGCAGACAGCACTTAACTTATTGTTTACCACTAAACTACATACCTACCTACCTGCCTGCCTGCCTGTCTGTCTGTCTGTCTGCCTGCCTACCAGATGATTGGGGCCGACTGTTGCTTCGCACGTGCGCACCAAACGAGTCCACAAGATAGCTTTTGCGTCCACGTGCGCACCACTTTTGCTCAGTCGCTCTGTCCTTGCCATTGAGCACAGCAGCTTCGGCTTCCAAGGCGGAGATACGGGCCTCGACTTCCGCCTGGCCGGTCCCTCAGCCCGAATCGAACGTGTCTAGCTGCGCCGAGTCCTGTAGCAAAGGGTTCTACATCTCTACTGGATCTTCCAAATCATTGAAATTTATTGAAATTTAACACTCAATCAGGAGACTAGCACTTTTCAAGGTCTCAGCGAAAGACCAAATATATATATCTATATATATATATATTATATATATACGCATCATACATTCACATACATTAACAAACATACACAATACCTACCAGTAGCTCGTGGTCCATGTTACTTGCAGGAAGCGTCCTGATTTGAGCAAATTGCGACCGTCTCCCTTGCCTTGTACTTATCGGCAGCTGCTCGGTCGTACTCTGCCGCTGAGGCCACTTGCGCAAAGAGCTTCATGCCCTCTTCCGCCTGGCTGAGCATGCCACCTGCCGCGCAGAAGCTCAAGCACACGGCGGGAAATGCCACATAACCAGTGACATGGCAGTGTATGGATGGAGACTTTGCTGTTTACTCATGTGTACTCTACGTCTTCCCTCCTTTCTGCATACCGCTGCCTGTTCCACGAACTTCAACCACCGCCATGGTCAGGAAACGCGCAGAAGGAGGGTCAGGAAACGCGCAGAAGAATTGCACGAGCTGAGTCGGAGCTGCGGGAAACCAAGCAATGCAGGCTTACCGCACTCAAAATGTCAAAGCTCATCGTCCCAATGCAAAAGTGACGTGGCAGGCAGAATGCAAAAAGTGCGCGCAACCGTCATGTGAAATAGCCATTCACAGGGAGTCCCATTCCTTTTTCCCAACGCAAAACACGCGGGTGGTGGTTCAGGCTCTTACAATGATGCAAAGCCACGCGGCCGCCTAGGCCACCAAACTCTGCGTCCGGATCACGAAATGCAATGCAGCGGACCCGAGAGTGAATCAGCGCCATTGCGCACATCACACAAGGCTCACAGGTCAGCACGACATCACAATCCTGGCAGAGATAGTCCTCGTCCTCCTCCCTTGAACGCTTTCCTTGCTCTGCGTACCTGACAAGACGCAGAAGCTAATGGAGTCTAAGACTCAAGATGACTCCATGTTTGAATTGCAATTCAAACATGAGAAGAACTCTAGGGCAAGTCCTGCCCGAATGAACGTGCCATCAGGAAATACCTTGACAAAATCAAAATCGCATTTAGACCCACGGGCCTTTGACGCGCCTTCGCTGCCACTTGCTCGATGGCCACCATCGCTGGGTGTTTCAGCAGCAAGGCTTCCGGGGCTTCCGAGGCTTCTGCCAGCACATTGTCACCCCGCGCAATGGCGCAGCCGCCTGCTGCTTCGGCGTGCCGCAGGAGACACGTGAAGTGCTCGCGCATCTCCTGATGGCTGCAGACTGCTGTCATCCAACTTATAGTTTTCAGGACATCGGACAGGCGTTTGAGCTGTCTTGATCTCTGCCTGCGTGAGCTGCATGGGCTCAAAGGATGACTTCAGCAATTTCACTGGCCAATGCCTTCAGGCGCAAGAGTCGCGCAAGTGACAAGTATCCTGCGGCAATCCATGCCGAGCTGATCAACCTGCCCGCCCCCATGGCCTGGAGTAGCTTTCCAGTTGAGCGGCTGTCAGAGGGCTGAAGCGGGGCACTTGAACCGTCACCTCGGCCGTGTCGCTGCTTCAAATGTCCTTTTGCTGGGTTGCCTCCCCAAATTCAACCGTGAGGCATGCATGATGGGCAATATCTTTATAACATGGCAGTGGGACAAAAATAGGAACTCGAAATGGAACCCTTGCAAGATCTGGTAAGTGGAAACATGGACCAAAACCTGCGGTCTCCTGGTGGTTGATTTTTGACCCATGCCCATATGTTGTGTCGTCCCTGTTCAATGTCGTGTATCGCGCCTGCTCAATGTCGTGCCGCTTCAGCAGCGCTTGCGCCTCATCAGGCACCTCAGCCTCAGCCAGCAGCACTGCCAGCTCTGGGCCCGGCCTTGCAAGTTGACGGGCGCGCTGCACGGTATCGTGCTTTACCAACATGTTTCGCCTTCACGTGTTCGTCATCTGGACATCCTGGAACGTCAGAAACACCTGGTCTACTTGCTTCAAGCCTTGCTCTCTTTCCCTAGTACAGTGTGTTGACTAGCCATGCGCGTTGACTAGCCCTGCCGGCCTGACACGCTTCAAATGCTTCAAGTCTTCGCTCAAAGGAGCAAGCAGCTTCATGAGCTCTCCGCATAAAGCCTGCGTGGTGTGCGTTTAGCAATTCGCGGGAAGAACAGCCAACAACGCACAACACATCCTTCCATGGCCGGGCCATAGCAAGAATAGATATCTCTCTCTCTCTCTCTACAAGCTCAATGGACTGAGAGATGCTTTGTGAAGCGCCTTGGGCACAACTGCACATTGCAGCGGCAGCAATTCAACTTCGCGGGTGAACTCGAGGGGTAGCACCTCGACTAAGTCATGGCGCGCGGCCATTGCTCCGGAATAATCCCTGCCGACTCCTTTGGGCAAGGTTGAAATGTCAGGGCCTATCCTATTTGTGTGTGTTTGTATTTTTCCCCGGAATTTGCATTTCAGCTCGCAACCCAATACGCCAACGCTCCTGCTTCAAAAAATGACACGGCTATATCATGTATGTTTATCCCGCAGGTCAGGCAAGTATGTCCACGTGTCTAGGCTGTCCCGCTGCTCTCTCTAAACTAGGACGGTTTCATCCGCTAACGTCCGCCGTTACGCAAGCCTGACGGTGTAGCCCACTGTCCAAAACACTACTTTCTGAAATGGCTCTCAACGCCTTGCAGCTGCGTTAGTGAAGCCAAGAATGCCCCTTAGACCACGTGACCTGAAGGGGCATTAGCCGCTGGCACTCTGCAAGCGCTCTTTGTTTGCTTACAATTCGGCACGAAGCTCTCTGCCTGCCGCAAACTTGCAAAAGACGAGCAGTCACTCACAACTTGCTCTCACAAACTGCTCCCCCCGGTTGCCTTGCGGAAGAAGGCTGGCACCCTCCTGATGGCTTCAAGTTTGCTTCACTCACTCCTTACGCTTCCGGGGCCATGACTCTGGCATCTACCAGCACCTGAGCAAGTGAAACGAGAACACTCGTGCTAGGTCTGTCCTTGCAATTCTTAATGCATGAATTGCCATGGAGAGAAGTGTTCCTCCCATCTTGCTCGCAAAAACGTCTGCAAAGTGCGATCACTCCTCAACACAATATCTGAGAACTGCAGCTGGTAGCATTGCTGGCAAGTTCATGCAGTTCCTACATCAGAAGCGCCATTATAGGAAAACTCAGACCAGCACCTGAGCGCTGCCCAATCCGTAGAAGAGGCTAGCATTGCTCATGGCCGGCCTTCGCAATATGCTCTTTGTGAACAGAATGCTAAGTGCGACCACACTTGCACAGCAAGTAGGACTTCACTTGCGTACGCACACTCACACATGTATTGAGCCCTGTGCAAAGAAGCATACTTCTGGTACCTAAGGTGATGCGGCTGATCGGTTCCGTACGTCTGCAAATGTATCCATCAATAAGCAGGGCAGAAGCGCAATACCAGATTCTCGTTGAGGAGGTGAAGCTCATCCTGGCGTGCCGTCGCCAGTTTGAAGCACTAGGTTGTCTGGCATTGCAAGGCTGTGCAGCCAAACAGGATGATGATACGAACAAACATAAACAAAAGCGTTGCATGTGCTGAAAACAATTTGCAAAACTAGGGCAGGGCGATGTGGACAAGCAGTCCGCTTGCCTGAGTATGGTTTGCTTGGCACGGCTCAGTTGAATTCTTCGTATTAACGCGTGCAGTACACAAAGCCCCTCGCTTCAAGCAACTTAAATTTCCGTGCCAGAGCCATTGCGGAGCTAAAGTCAGAGAACTCCCCATCAAAGTCACTCACAACCCGCAAGTTGTTCAGCTACTGGATAGGGCTTCCCATTCCTCACTCTCAAACGGGCCGTTGCACTCATGGTCTCCCCACAGGTTCTGGTGTTTTTCCGATCGATTTGCAGCAACTTCTGCCACAGGGCTTTCTACCTCCATTTCTTGGATCTCCTCCAGAGTCTTATCGCTGACATGTATAGTAGCCGTCATTGAAATGCAATCCACATTTCACTATATGTGTGGCCACATCAGCACTGCGAGGAGGCGCTTCATCTCTAAATCTTGGATAAAGCCATCGCCTTCATATATCTCACTGGCCTTCAAGCATAATTCTGTGGTGCTCGCAGCGTCATTTGCTGGGGCACTCTTTTCTTGTTCCCTTTTCAACAGATCAGCCAACTCTGGTATGCTTTCTGGTAGAAGAGACACCTTTCATTTTCAGGGCGTAGCAAAACTGGCCTACGTCCGTAGAACTGGTCTAGCTGAACATGTTCAGCGTTCATTTCACTTCGAGAGCAACTTGAAATGATGAAACTGCGGGCGGCGTCATTAGGCACCCCTCTCCCTTCACGTGCTCCAAGCTCGTCAGCAACGACCCACTGCAAAAACTCTTTGAAGAGCTGGCCATCTCCAGAGGTATCTACCAAAGACATTACAAAACAATCAATGGAACTATTATCCATTTCCTCATCCAATGCTCCAAGTTCCTCCCGGCCGATTGCCCCCATTTCCATCTGTGTCGAACCTTTCAAAATGTTGGTGCCACAGATTCCTGGTGAGCGGAAAACATGAGTTAGAGCCGCTTCAATTGCCTGATGTTTGAACAAGATTGGGGAGGACAAGGAACACAATTAAATTAAGCTTGGGGAGGTCAAGGACAAGGAACACATCAGAAACTCAGCATACATGTTGCAAAACATACCCGTATAACGAGCCTTGATCTTCTTCAGTACAGTGGCTTCTGTGTCCAGAACGAGCTTCTTTGCATTGGCCTTCGTGACAAGCTGCACCATGTGTGTGTGTGTGTGTGTGTCTGCAAGGTGACCTGTTAAGCAAGCTTGCCGCTTGTAAGTATGTGCAAGCACGAAACTTTGCAGCATAATCCTTGCACCCTCTCATCTGCAACGAGCACCAATCGCAGTTTCCGCCCCACAGGTAGCTTCATTGGCGCACTTTGGCAGTCTTCGTGATGAGTGTGTAGTTAGCCTCCCCACTCGCACTGATCACCTGCGTGAAGCAAGTTTCAAGAAGACTTTGGCATATCCAAGCAAGTGCGCCTTGATGTCCTTGTCAAACTTGGACTCGATCACATGGGTCACTGCACGGATTTGCGCAGATTCCTGGCTTCTGCAGGTGCAGTCCAAATTGGGCAATGAGGCCAGGCCACGTCTGTGGGCAAGCTGGCAGCACTCTTTTTGAGTCGAGGCATTATCTGAATCCGAAGTCGAAGGGAGCTCTTTCGACTTCTGCAATGGTATTGCAACTTTGGCAGCCAGAATGTGAACATATGGCAGGATTTCCCTCTTTTCACAACACAGAAAAAAATGCATACAAACTTGATCCCTTCGCCCTCTTGGTGTTCAAGTCAAGATGGTGCAGGCAGTGCTGTCGGAGGGAATGCAAGGAGGGTAATCCAGCGAGATTCACTCAGCATCGGTGTCTCCATTTCAAGACAACCCGATGGGAATTATTATGCACAGGTCCAAATGATGTCATTTGGACATCATCGGGGTGAATATTCATCAAATGCCTCCTCTGCGAAGCTTTCTGGCAGTGACTTATGTTTACATGGCCAGCTGATGGAGGCAGCAGGCTCAAGGCTCACTTGGCAAAGCCATCAGCCCACCCAGCTTTCCTCCCCGGTAAGGTACTGATTTGGCCTCAGTCTGAATTGCTTTGGGGACACTACATAGTCTCAGTGACCAGTGTGGCAAGAAGGAGCTAGCTCATTACGATTGGACCATGTTCAGCCGCGGGAGGCAGCGGGCCAAGTTGGCGGGGTTTAGCGCCCCACTAAAATGAAGCGGGGCATCGCAAGGCGGTGCGCAGCTGCGGAAGGGATGCGGGGATCAGGGCAGTCTGGCTCAAGAACTGGCAGGCAGTAAGCCAAGTTTGTGGGGCACAGGTGTAGTGTGTGAGGCGCAGGTGTCCACAAAAATCGGGCGGATCAATGCAAGGTGGGAGATCAGTTTGCTGGCTCGAACAGCAACAGACAGGGGGCCAAGTTTGTGGGGCACGGGTTTCGAGGCTCGAGCGCCTTGCAAGAATGGATAAGAACGGGGGAGAGGCGGCGTTCAATTTGACTCGGTGGAAGATGCCAGTTCGCAAGTTTTGTGGGACGCCCCAACACCTACGCCTGACTTGGCTTTGTGCTTACCTCCCGATTTTTCTGCCGGTGCTGACATCCCCTTTTCCGTCCCTCCGCCTGCTATGCACCGCCATATTTTTCGGGGGGCGCAAAAGCTTCAACGCCTTTGCCCCGCCGCCTTGCCACTCAACACCTGTGCCGACCGCAAGCAATTGGCGAGAGCATGGCGGAGCGGCACGGGATGCAAACAAGGCAGCGGGCAGCGGACGAGGAAGGAATCGAACTTACTTGTTGACACACCTATTACATCCAACGCTGGCTCAGCGTTTGAGCCTTACTTGGCTTCCGGGCCCGCCGAATAAGAGGGCGTACGCCGCATACCTGCAGCCCGCCTGGCGCAAATCATCGGTTGACTGGCTGCAAATCATCGAATCACACCTTGCCCTTTCAAACTTGTTACTGCTCTTCACAGCAACCCTGAATCAGGAGGCTCACTACAGGCGCAGGGTGCCGCGCCAGCAGCATGCATGTCAACAGACGTGATGTTCAAGCAAGAAGACTACACGCATTTTGTCACAAGCGTCGAGCCTGCTTGTGCATCCCCGCGTGCCGTTGGGTACCCAGAAAGCCTGCAACAAGCTCGAAATGATCGGCGCGCAGATGCGCAGCGACGCGCCCTCGAAGCTCTTTTCCCCGCATTGGGGCACCATCAGCTACTTGAGTTAAATGGGCCATTGCCGTTCTGCAAACATCACTCGCACCACTTCGAACACCCTGCTGACCTGTGCATGATGGGGTTTAGGGATCGTCCAAGGTGCGAAACCCGTCTCCCCATGATGTGGCTGCTATGCCTCTGTGGTGAGCTTGTCGCCTGCACGCACCTCAATGAGGGCAAAAGCGCGCAACATCTAGAATCTATATGATCGAAAGTTTTCGCACGTGCCACAGTGTAGATATGCAGGGGATATTCCAGGACATGTGAGTCACAATCAAAACCCGGTATTCAAATGGTCTTACTCCCAGAACCATTAAAAAGGCGGACATCCGCACCCGTTCCCTTTAGCCTTACCCTCTGCCCGGGTTTTGAATGTCATGTATGGATGTGCGCGGATCCTCGCAATCGTTTTCCGAGGACCACGCCCATCCTCCGATGCCCGGCCTCGAAGGTCAGACGCTCTTAAAGCATGTTTACCAGCTAGTCGCACATTCATACGCATAGGTCTGAGTCCGAGTAAAAAGAGACTCAAATCAACAACATTCATGCTCTCCGTGGGGCCCACGCCAGAAACAGTAGGCTCTGTCCTCGGCGACCTGGCCTCCACATGCGCTGAACTCCAAGCAAACTCACCAGTCACAAACGATGTCACCCCGGCCTCTGCTTTGGAAACAGGACGCCTGGATAGTTAGATGCAGAGCACCCGCAAGCTGATGTCATGCGGTGACTCCAAATCATCCAAAAGCAGGACTGTGGCCTGAATCGCTCCCTGCTTCGTGGAAGCGCTCGCAAGTCAGAGCCTGTTCGGCTATGTCAGCTCTCAATGTGCAAAATGCGTGGGTAGCCCATGACAAAGCACGTCAGCAGAAAGGTCTCGTAGGTTCAGGTGGGCGCATGTGTGTGTGTGTTATGTGTGTGTGTGTATAAGTGTAAGTGCAAGTGTGGGTGCGTGCAAGTGCAAGTGTAAGACGAAACCAGCTCATTACCGGGTTGGCAGTCTATTCGGCCAAATCTTAAAGGGCATGATGCCTGGTAAAATCAAATCCGCGTGCCTTTGGACCAAAAACCCATCCACGGCGTCCACATGTGAAATCATATGGACAACCAAACTCGCCTGGATGGACAGCTTGAGCAGGTTTGCAAGCCTGCAGCGCAGCTAAGCCAAGTGATGCGAAACTGGATCCAGCAAGGATCTCTTTCCAGCTCTGCGAAAACAAAGCCGAGCTCAAAAGTCCAGCCGTGGCATTTGCTGTGCCAGCAGCGGGCGATGCAGCATTCAGTGCCGTGCTGCAAAATGGCACAGCTTGCTCAACCTGCTCTGAGGGCTGTTGCAAAGCACTGCAAAAACCAAACTACAAGTATCCAGCTACGCCTGACGAGCCGCAAGGGACAGTTTCCATTCTGCAACATCCACCCAGTCCGGAAAACTTGCCTCCATGTCCTGCTCGGCCTCTTCTTCTTCACCGCTTTCCTGGTTCGCTCGTATTGCCATGATTCTATGCCGTCAAGAGCTGTTGTACCTTGCCCATGCCGTCAGTCCTCACGGTCCTCGCTTGCGATGCTCTCGGGACTTGGACTTGGCGCTTTCGTGTCCTCCACGAAGGCTTCGGTGTTTCTTTCGGCAAAGGCTGGCACACAGCTGCAATATAGGTGGCCTTTGGGAAAAATAGATGGCCCTGGTAAATGGGACATAAAACCCATCTAAGCCAGTGGAGCCCATCTATCATTAACCGAAGTAAAAAGAACACCTGTGAGCTTCGGAAGAAGCGACGGGTCCGTTTTTCGTCCGGTCCTTCGGCGGTTTCGGCGGCCTGCGAGCAAGCCGCACGGCAGGGCGCCGAAGCAGCGCCATCTTTGGCCGGCACGTCATGCCATGCCTCGGATCGTGAAAAAAAACATGTGCGACGCCGGGCAGCAAGAAACCCCGGGCGAAGCGCATGCAAAATGTCAGTGTGAACAGCTCAAAGCGCATCGCAATTGCAGCATGATTGTTCAAACAAGCAGCAGGGCTTTGCTGACAGCATCAGGGAAGTCCCTAGCAGCAGCACTTGTCCCAGCTGGCTTTGATTCGGCCCCTGTGAGGTATTGTGTGAGTCAAATTGCACACGCCGCGCCTCTTCAGCTCGATGGAGGGAAAGGTGGCAGCTGCTTCCCTAAGGAAGCAATCCATTATTGGCCCGGCAGCCATCACAGCAAACGTTCCGCTTGGCTTCCTTGGCACGAAGCGGCAATGACTTCAATTCGGATCGTTGGTGGTAATGATTCATCATGTGCTCTCCAAGCACGACTACGAGTTTGGCACTCCGCACTTCAGCCAAAGGGGCAATAGCTTGCGGGCTGTTCGCAGAATAAGGGCGTGGGCATCCTTCATTTCGACAATTTCCGCAGCGATGATCCAGTCCTTACAACAGCGCACTGTCGGTTGATTCAGGCAGCGTAGAGGTTTTTGGCTAATGCCGCTCTTGGCACCAGGGAGGTCAATCAATCAAACATGTTGTGTTACCTTTGCAGAGTGGTTTCAGAAGACTTGAGCGGATGCACGGCTCACGGTCTCAAGTTGAGAATGGTCATCTTGTTCAATAGGAGAGCCCTAAGATGTCGTCTCAACTTGCATGATAGCAGCCAGTGGATTCAAAGGTGAACAAGCTTGATGTACACAATGTCCTTGAGCCATTACAGCCGAATGTTGAGCAACGTGTGTGGGAAAGCATGCGTAACAGACCAAGAATGTTCACAATCAGCCATAGTGCACAACAGACCAGCAAGCCCGGATCTGAGCTACGGGAAAGAAACGAAAACAGCTTCCTTCCCAAATGCGAGGAGCAAATCTCTTCAGCGCAGGGACCTCGCCGAAGGCGAGGCGTCTTGCTTTCAGCGAAGCCTGTCAGATTCTCTCAAAAGTTTGCCGGTGTTGTGAAATGGGTGGGGGGTCCTTCTGTCCATTTCCCAGGGTTCCATTTTGGGTACCTATTTTGTACCCACACCCAATGCTTGAACAATGATGGTCTGCATGTGCGAGCAGCAGTTTGTACATTGTTTATGCATCGTCTTTCGCATCTTTCTTTGGTTTCAGGCCGGGCAGCAGCGCAGGAGTCATTGAGAAGCACCGCCTCTTGCAAAGTTTGCACCACAGCGGGGTCCGCGTCCGTGAGTTCCACGTGCTTCGCAGAATTGGCCTGGACAGACATTGCACCAACACTTGCAATGTCTCGGTGCTCCTTTTGGCGGCTGTTGCTGCCGAGTTTGGTCAAGCAGCTGAATTTCAAAACAGAAACGCCCTCTGGAACAGTCCTTTCCGGGCCTCGTTGAAATAGCATCCCCCTCTCCCAGCCCCACTATCCTTCAAAACGACCATTCCCGAGTTAGGGCTTTCAATGAAATCAGAAGTGTGCTTGGAGGTTTGTTGGCTTCGTAATGTTTTGGTAGTGCTTTGTACTGGACCAGTACCGATTAGAAGTGCCTAACAAAACCGGCCTTGCGTACCCCCTTCCCTTTTAAGGTCAGAACAGATCTTTGCGAGACACCTCTGCAATCCCTCTTTGCTTCTCAATCACTATCCGACACTAGTCAGGGTCAGCGAAATCAGAACCGCTTCAGGTCTGCCATTGCCAAGTCTATCGTTCCCATCCGTCCAATGACAAAAAACAATGGCAACTCCCAAGGCCCAACATCCCAGGCGGATGCCAAAAGGTGGGGCTGTGGTTGAAATATCAAAACATTTTCGTGGTTGTCCAACCAACGGTCATCGCATGTATTACGGACCTTTTGACACACCCTGTGCGAAATCCTCTCCCGGTATTTTGCCCTGGCGCCGCTGCAAGGCCCGCCAAGCCAGCTCCAGCGCCCAGCTCCAGCACGCGACGCCGCAGCCGCCGAGACAACACCTGACACTCAAAGCCCGGTATTAAAGTTGTCATAATCCCGGAGCCATGCTTCAAGACTTGAAAAGGCGGCTGTCCGCACCCATTTAAGGCGGGGATTGTCCCTTGCTACCCTCCAATTACCCGGGTTTTGATTGTGACTCACCTGGTTTCAGGGCAATTGGCAAACTCATCAAAGGTGGCGCCACCACCACGAATACCAATCCACTACAACCATTTCTCGTCAGTTCCAGCGACATGCGCGAGTTGCGCTGGATTTACAAAGCATGGGCTAAAGGTGACTCCAACCCACGTTTGCCTGCAGCCAGCCTCAGCCCAGGCTGAGAAAGACATAGACTTTGCGCAACGACAAAAAACACCAACTGCGGTGTGTTTGGCACTCCATCTGCAAGTCTCAGCTTGGCACCCATGCTGCAAGCGCTTCCTCTGCGCAGCTGGGGCGAGCATCTCCATGGCGCCGCCGGAGCCGCACCTCAAAGGTCTAAACTTCGGCTTTGCGAGGCCCCGCAAAGTCAGCTTCCCGCATTGTTTGGTGGTTTGGAGCCCGGTGGTTCGGTGGTTTGGATTGGGGTTTCCCATTTGCCCTCTACAAGAAACAGGGGTTCAAACCACACATCCAAACCACCAACTGAGGAGTACCTGACAAACCGCCCCAACCAAAACATCCACCTGCCGACCCCATGCTCGCCCGCGAGCCGGTGAGCCACCCGCAAGCCTGAAAATTGTCGAAGTCATAGGTCAGCTCCTTCACATCTTCATCAGCCACCTGGTGCCATGCCAGATCACTAACTGCATATGTTCACAACCATATGGGTTACTTTGCAAATCAACAACCGTTCAAACACCCAACAAGGAATGAGTACCGATGACGCGATTGCACAGCAGGCTTTGCATGTAGCAACAATCCTTCCATGCTTGGGCAATCTGCTCAAATTGGACATCAAACACCATGCAAGGACCCAGCATGATCCAAATGCGCAAGGTTGTGTTGGGGTCTGTTGGTGCAAATGTTGTTCTTGCTGTCCTCAGCGGTGGTCGAGTTGGTCTGTTTGTTGGCACTGTTGAGTCTTGCTTTCATAAGAGCTTGGTGGTTTTGGTGTTGGAGGCGGTGGTTCGCTGGCGCTGGAAGGCTGGCCGGCTGACTGGATGACGCTCGGTCGGTCATGTGTCGGCTTGGTCGGTTCACTGGTGGGGTGGGGTGGGGTGGGGTGGGGTGGGGCGGGGCGGGGCGGGGCGGGGCGGGGCGGGGCGGGGCGGGGCGGGGCGGGGCGGGGCCGGGCGGGGCGGGGCGGGGCGGGGCGGGGCGGGGCGGGGCGGGGTTGGGCGGGTCTTCGCGATTGATGTGTTGTTTTAATGTGTTGTTGGGCATAATTCCTGGCCCGGTTTGGATGACGACAATAACTACACTGAGTACACCTTTGCTTAGGTGATAGGGATGTACGGCGTCGTGACGCTGCACGGATCGTTTGCGCATGTGTCGCGCAGCCGCCCTTGACGTCCATCATTGGCTCGCTAGTACACGCCAGAACTTATTTCTTATTCAGTTTAAACTGTGCACTGGATGCTGTAACTCTACAAAGGTTGACCTAAGCTCCACAACTGATGGTGCATCAATGCTTGGCTGAAATGTCAACTACAAGTAGGACCTTTCTTGGTCTGCTGCGCTGGCCGCGTTTCTTCTACCCGGAGCCGCTTCACAACAACCACAGCGCACATCGATGACACAACTGCAAACATTGCAGTTGCTGGACAGCAGCACCAGTACATAAATACATTGCAACGCACGTGAGTGAAAGTGGCTGCCCCTCTCAAACTGTGTGCAGTCCTGCCTTGACGCTTCTTGGGAAGAGGCCCCAGTCAGAGCGACCTGGCCGGTTTGGGCGATGAAGTCGTTGCATTGTAATGTTACCACGTTTGCATCCATGTGGGCCCAAAGGCTTCTGGCATGCATTATCAAAGATTTTGGTCATGTGCTCGGATCCAGCTCTGCCCTTGTACCTTCCAGCTCTGCCCTGGGCACCAGCGGCACGCGAGGTGCTCGAGGGGGCGGCTCCTTACGTTGCCAAAATCAGTGACGCGGCAAGGCAGACGCTTGGTCGATTTCTCGATTTGGTCAACCCAAAAATCAAGTTAAAGCTCTTTCAGCCATCCCAGCATCAATTGCACGCGTCTGCCAGCATCAATTGCAGGCGTCTGCCCCTCGTGTCTCCTCCTCTGCAACCGGCACCTTGGGCTCCTCTAACCGCCGTTCCCGGCGCGCCAGAAGGGTCTCGCTGCGGGCGCGGCGTCGCAGCTGCTGCTGCTCCTTGCGTTCGGCCTCCTCCTGCGCCTGCGAAGTCGACCCGAAACTGGCGATCGGTACCTGAAAAAAAAGAAAATTACTTCGCTTCGAGCAATCCCCACCCTCCACTCACGAGCTTACGACCATTACGACAAATTCCTCCACATCCTAGGGACTTCGACTCCAAATTCCAATCAACCCCTTCCCACTGATAATTTGCCGCGCAAGAATGGCAAAGCACTGCTTCAAGCCCATTTCAAGCTTATTGGCGAGCAACAACTACTTGCACGTGGCCGATCACGGCGGCAAGGCACCAGGGTTATGCATCTGCAGAAGCCACCGCCAGCCCCGCGCTCTGCAGAGCACACGCGCGGGCACCAACAGCAAAACCAAACTGGCGAGCTGCTCTGGCGGGATACTGGCGGGATCCACTGGCGAATACTGGCGAGCCGCTCTGGCTCGATATTGGCCGGATACTCGGCAGGATCCACCGACAAGGGATACTCAGCGGGATACTCGGCGGGATGCGCTGGCGAGCTGCTCTGGGATACTCAGCGGGATACTTGCCAGATTCCACTGGCGGGCTGCTGTGGTGGGATACTCGGCGGGATCCACTGGCTGGCGTGATACTTGATGGGATCCACTCACGAACTACTCCCATTGGCGGGCTGCTCTGGTGGGATACTCGGCGGGATCCACTGGCGAGCCGCTCTGGCGGGATACTTGGCGGGATCCACTGGCGAGCCGCTCTGGCGGGATGCTGGGCGGGGGCCGGTCCGGCGGGATACTCGGCGGGATCCACTGGTGAGCCGCTCTGGCGGGATCCACTGGCGAGCTGCTCTGGGATACTCAGCGGGATCCACTGACTCAGCGGGATCCACTGGCAAGCAGCTCTGGCGGGATACTGGCTGGGATCCACTGGCGAGCCTCTGGCGGGATACTCGGCGGGATCCACTGGCGAGCTGCTCTGGCGGGATACTGGGTGGGGGCGTGGTGTAGAAGCATCGCAAACGCGGATTCCAACATAAAATCTAACAACCCCTTCCTGTCGGGTGGGGAAAAACATGCATCCAAAACCATCCGAGTTGGCTTCCTTTCGCGAATCCAACCAAAACCGGCTCATTCAACCGGACTCTGCCTCAGTAACTCACTCATTCCCTATCGCAGCAAATGCGTCTGATCCGCCTTGTGTCGCTTTTGCTCCTGCAGCTCGGCAAAGCGCTGGCACAGCCGCTGCACCGCCTCGCTCTCGCCCTGCGGGATTAAAAAAAAAAAAAAACAGCCCCCACACTCAGCGACGGGGTTCTGTCTCTCCCACGCAATTTCACGTGAATCATGCAACCAATCCCAGAAGCTTGCACATGTTCAGCACGTTTAACGCAAAATTACACCCTAAGCGACAAACAAAAGCTTGTACATTCAGCACGTAAAGCAAAAAGGTAAAGTTTAAGGTCACTCTCACCTCTGCGGAGCCTCTGCGGGCACCGTGAGCTTCACGAAGACAGGAAAACATTTGGAGCCGCGGCCGATGGCTCGCTCCACATCCGCGTCATAGTCTGTGGAGACCTGGGCAAACAGGCCCCATGAAGTCTCTCATGTTGACCCCATATTAATCAAACAAACAGTCTATTGATAGGGGGTGTCCGATTCTGGGTGAAATGTATCATCACGTTTGGAGAACACCCCCCATATTCATAAACAGGAGTTGATTTATATGGGGTCAACATTACCTTTGATCCGCAATTCACAATTTACATCTGATATAGGCATCTGCGCACCAACACCAAAAAGCAGATGCAACTGCAAACGCTCGACCTCGCCTCCACTCCAAAGATCGCCTTGGAACTGGCCACGAACTTCTCCAGCGAGCCGTGTCTCTTCGAAGCAAAGAGCAGAAAATGCCCTTGGCTCCAAATGGTCGCGTCAGGCAATGGTCACGGATTCCGTTCATGGTCTAAGCACCACGCCCCCAGGGCGCAGCACACGCGCCAGCATGTCCAGAAGCGGGGCATGAAGGTCCTGATGTGACATCCACATCCAAATCAGCCAACCCGTAAATCTCAAACCAACACTGCAAATCCTGTCAAGCCGTGGTCTGAAATGCAAAAAACAACTACATCTTACAACAATCTGTTCAAAATACTTGGCTTGGTCGCTCTGCTCTAAAACAACTAAATTATGTTCAATGGCTGCCACCTTGCTGTCTCCTCCAAGTAGACCACATCAGCACCCAACACCAAGTCAAACGATGCACGGTCTGGCCATTGCTCCATGCGATCCTGCAGCAGCTGTTTGGAGCAGCCGTGTGAGCAGCCGATTCAAGTCACTGATAACATCCACAAGCTATCTACATAAAGCGTCCAAACCACACACACGCACACATCAACATTTGCGACCACACTGCAATGCTTGGTGGTTGCACTCAAACTGTCAAATAAATGTTACGGTAGATCACCAGATTTTGAGAAGACGATCTGACGTCCGGTGCATTTGCGACTTGGCGCCCAGCCCAAAGCAGCTGCTGCACGGTGACCAACGACTGGAAGGATCCCTCGTTCAGACTCCGCGAGCTCTCCAGAAGCTTCACGACCTGCCCATGTCCGCGGCCAGCCTTGATGCAGCGTAATATCATGGTGACGGCATAACGAACGCAGTGCAAACGTCACACAGCAGAACAGAACAGAACGACAGTGTCTGAACAAACTCTGTTTTGGACGAATGCAATGCACATAAACACGGAGTTGGCCTGCCTCGGGGTCACCGTCTGTGAGAACAACCTGTGGCAGGATGATAACTTAGCTGGATCCAAGAGGTTGTAAAATAGTTGGGTAGCTATGATAGTGAAACAGTTAGTAGATATCATCCTCACAACAGCTAGTCGGAGGTTGTGAAATACATTTATGACAGTTCATGCACAAGTACCCGCTAAGTACCCAGCGCGCAAGTGTGCGAGTAGCATGTGCGAGTAGCTAAATGATAGCATGGTTTGCCTTCTCCCAAAAGTGACAGAGGTGCTCAGTTGCAAATTCCCCTTTGCACCTGTGCCAAACATATCATGTGTCCCGCAGCTGCAGAGCACAAAGTGGTGCTCTGTGCCATTGACCGTGATGGAATTATTTGTGTCCTACCCGAGTTGCGAAACGTCGACAACAAATATAATGCCACGACAATAAGAAGAAACATGCACATCCACACACACACACACCGACATGTCCTGCCTTTTGCGCATTTGCATTTCATTTGCATTATGTGTTCTTTCGTTTTGGTTCGGGCCTGCTGCGCCTTGGTGCAGCTGGCGCACACGAGGCCAGCCAGGCCCAGACCAGCACCCACCACCAACACGCGGCCGTGGCAAACACGAGGGCCTCACAGGAACGAGTGACGCGCACGCTTAGTATACTCAGCACTCCACGAAGTCTGAAACTGCAAATTAGACGTTCACGAATGCGGAAACCACGCGAAGCTCTTTCAGGAGTTTGAACTCAGAGATTTCCAGCGAATGGCGTCTGATGACATCTGATGGCAGCTGGGAGAAGCCTGAGATTCCGGGCGTTTCAAGATGTAGGTGGCTAGGGCTTCTTCGGAGGGCGAGATCTTCCGCGCAAAGTCTCCATGCATCAGCCTGGCAGAGAGGTCTCTCTGTCCCTGGCTTTCGGCAAACGACCATGTTTTCGGCACGCTAAAATGGGTGTGGCTCAAAATTAATCAGCTAGGCTTACGCAGGTTTTAGTCTTTCCATTTACCAGGGTGCCATTTGGGGATTCCATTTGTTGAGCAGCCATTTGTGTCACGCTACGCCCACACCTGGTGCCGGCACCCTCCAGTGGCTGATGGAACTCCACGGTCTTGCCCGCGCAGTGGTACATGAGGCTGCGATAGGCCATCACCTGCCCAAAAGATGCGGGTATCTTCCAAACGCCCTGCGAATCAAACTCAATCAGTACATAGTAATATGGCTGTGATGCTCGCATGACATGCCACAAGCAAAACTTGTCGATTGTCACGATTGCTGCTTCCATCTTTGCAAAATGGCCTGCCCACAGGAGTCTACTCCGCGAACCTTGGTTCAGATCCTGGATCTGATTTTCATGGGTGATCAATCTCAAGTTCCGTGAGTGAACGTCTGAACCAAGGAGCTTGAAAAGTGCAAAGTTCACCAGCAAGTTCCCTACGACCAGTGGATCGTGAATCGAGTTGGCGTATCTAAACGGTTTCTTGCTCTGCTTGAGCCCGCCCTGATAGATGTGCACGAGGACAGTTCCTTCATCTCAGCTCAGGGCGGTGTTGACCACTCGGTCGAAGAGACCCCAATGAGACCGCTCGCCTGATGGCAGAGACACGCAACTGTCTTGAGCAAGGCTGTTTCTTTTGTTTAAAAACTGTTTCTTTTCCTTTTTTCCCTGCAGTATGGCTGTTAGCAAAAAAGCTCCTTTTCCCTGAGCCTCCCACAGGTTCCATCACTTGGAGAGGCGTCCATGATCCAACGCCATGGAGAGACAAAGTATCCAAGTGTTTGCTGCTGTTGAATGCTGAGGCAGCATGACTCAGCGAACAGAAGTACTTCAACGAAGCTGATGTTTGTATGCCCGCTTTGCCCTTTTGCTTGCAATGCTGTGATTCCATGCACTTGACAGGACATGCCGCACCTGATTTGCAGGGATTAGCATGCTCGGACTTTGTGCTGTTATTGGCCTTTGCACAAGCTTGAGACCTATGTTCCAGTTGGCGTGATCTGTTGAATCAAACAAGTCGCAAAACAGTAAACAATAAGAGGCAAAAATGAGAGGAAATGCATGTTCCCTTTCATTCGGTCTAAACAACATGGTACAACAGTTCCTTTAATGCTACCAATATACCCTTTGGGATGCTAGGAATCATGTTGAACTTTAGGATTAAGTGCCCAAGCGAACCCTGCGGCCCCTCCTGCGCAAACTTCTCCGTGGCAATGGCCTGATTTTGCACCTTGCAAGTGCTGAACAGCTCAAACGACTGTCGACAAAAATGTGTTTTGCTGGAGATGATATCCCTACAGGCAACACCGAGGGAGTAGCGTTGGTAGAGCAGCTTGAAAAGGAAACTGTTAGCTAGAAGGTTCTTAGTGGCAAAGTTCATTCTGCGCAGAATTCAACATGCTTCTCAGAAGGCCAACACCGCTTTTCTAAGAAGGGCCCAAAGACTTCCAGGAATATGCAAAGTGTTCTGAGTCGGCGACTTTCTGCAAAAGGGATTGGCCGTCTTAGGGGTTCTCAGAAACGCGCTCCGCTGACTCCACCAGCGGGCTGACTACATTAATTTGTTTGAGACTGAATTTCTGGAAACAAACACTTAAAGGGAATGATCCAATGACCACTCATCGAAAACAATCAACCCTCAGAATATAAAACAAAGACACTTTGCAGCAGTAGTTGCATTGTGCCTGGGTCATCACAATGCTCTCGTCAAAGGCTTTTGGAAGCGCAATGTCTAGAAGTTGAAGACCCCAACCTGCCAAAGTACGAATATATAGAAGTTGCACACACTCAGCCAAAGAAATTCCGCCAGGGCCGCACTCGGCATACCTGGCGGTGGCATTAACAACCAACCTCTGAATGCATTGCACACTGGTCCTCTTGATCTACACTCATCTCTCATGCCATGAGGATTTGTGCGCACGTCCTGTTCAGGACGGTGTTCACCTCACGCTGCATCTGGTCGCCGACCTTAAAATTTCGAAAACAAATCAAACAAGATTTTGAAACTGGCAACATTTTACCATCGACCTGCTTGCGCTGATCCCACAAATGGTGCGCTTCGTAGTCAGCCGCAACCTGCAAGTCACAAGCAAGAATTCCCAAACAATTGAAACCAAATCAAAGAGCAAACCGAGTCATCAGCACAAGAACAACATCCTAATGTATTCGTGGGACCAAAGGTTCATACATTGAAGGCACTGGACATTGAAGGCTGAGGATTCTGCATGAAACATGGTTGTGGGTCAAGAATAGGTACCCAAGATGAAACCACGGTACATGGAAACATGGACTAAGACCCTGGCGAATTAATTTGGACCAACAATGCCTCAACGATACCATCCACCGCTGTCCCATGACTCCAATATTTCACGCTCATGTTGACCCCATATTTGTCAACCCAACATGTCAATAGCGGGTGGGAGCCCCTCCAAAGGTCATGATTCCCCACATTTCACCCTTTGAAACACTATTGACAAACTGGGGTTGATATGGGGTCATTATGTTTTGCATCCTCAGTGCGCGACAAACATCCCCTCGCTCCCACACGGCCTTTATCAGCGTGTCCCTGATGGTGCTAACGAAGAAGGACTGACAAATAACGAAGAAGGATTGCAGTCTTTTTGACATCTGCGACAGTCTCAAAAAACAAGGCGTGGTTGATGTTACGTGTTTGCATACATCTCATTGACCAGTTGCCCCGCCTCGGAATCAACGTTAAACTCTGTGTACAATTTGCCAACCTTGGCAATGCTGCTCCTTCCATTCGGATGTTTCCAACACATGAACACTCACATGCTGTTCACTGTAGCGCTCTAACGCAAACGAGTCGTTGACATGTGCTGTGGCCGGGTAATGTGCCAGACTGAACGCTCAACAACTGAATCAACAAAATCAAAACTGGGGTACATGGTCTGGTACTGGGACACAACGATCTAGGGTGCAGACATCTTGTTGACGCAGTTTGTATTGAAGTGCAACCTCCATCGGCAAACAAACAAACATGTTGCCGATTGATACAACTAAGAACGTATTCAAATCCAATACAATCAGGCGCCTCAAGATTTAGTGCCAGGCCTTCTTTGGTCCTGGTAAGCCGTCCAGCGTGCCATGCGAATGCCAATTTTGTTCAGGTCCGCCAGCAACTCAAACCGTTGAAGAAACTGCAAACTGACATCCCAGATCTCGAGGCATCCTGGTGTGCAGGGCAGGGTAGCGGTTGCCACTGGCGGCAAGGGCGAACCTCGATCCGACAAGAACCGTTGTCCTGGCAGCTCCAAGCCACCATAGTTTTTTAATTGCTGTTGTGTATGTGTCGGATTGCATGTTAGTCATTTAGTTGATCCCAGCATAGAACAGGAGGATGGCTGTCAAAATTTCGGAATGGTGCTCGGAAAGGCCCACACTGGCACACTGTCATTTTTTGAGGCCACCGCGCGTTCGAGAACTCGACATTCTGAACCAACGCTGGGAAAAGCCTCACGTGCAGCACAACTGCACATGTCAAATCACGCAAGCTGTAAGCAAAAAGTGGCTAAGCCGCGAACACGAAGCTGTTCCAAGGTCCAATGAAATATCGTCCAGATGTGTAGACCTGAAGTTTGAAATTGTTTGAATGCAGCCACAACATGGAACACATTGCGGTTTGCACCAAGCTGGCTCAGGATTTATCAACGCAACTGTGTGACCCACATTGTCAATGTCTGCCCACTTTTGAGCATTGTTGTACCTGCCATGCGCTGTGTCAAATCTGTCTTGCAAAATCGGTTGGCGCACCGAATTCCGTAATGTAGATTCGGCACTGCTTGTAACGACAGCAGTGCCAACGCCACGGCGAGAAAGGCACCTGTTGCAAAGTTGCATCATTGGGTATTTGCGCTTTGCTCCAGCACCAAAACAAATTTAGGTCGCTGCAACCGCCGCCGATCGTGTATGCGGATGTTGCTCGAATATCCTGTACAGCATCCCTCCAAATCTTAGCATCATCATTTTTGGCAAGAACACGCAACCTCAGGGCAATCTCCAAGATCGCAAGGACATTCCAACCTTGGCAAAATGCAGAGACCTTGACGTAATTCATGACATGCTTTCACTAAGCCTGCGACTCCATGTTTGAATTCAATTCGTCAATGCACAACTGGACCACTACAATTAATGTGTTTGTTTGTATGTTGGGCTGGTTGAGTCTTTGTCCTCCACCGTCACAACATCACAAAACAGTGAATACCAAATCTTGACAAAATTTGATGTGTGGCTTGGTTACTGTGCGTTTTTGATTGAAAGCTGTGAGCCACGTGCAGCGCGATGTCCCCTTGACTTTGTTTTGTAACATGCCGAAACAAATGAATTAAATGGCGCCCTGCCCCCCCCCCACCCCCGGCTCGCCTGGCCCTCAAAAATTCACGGCAGCACGCACGCATCAAATTGTCGAGTTTTTTGCCGTGTCAATTGCGCTGGTGCCACACTCTGTATGTTATTTCAAGACAAACGCACCAGGCGCATTGATTTGGTCAAACCACGTTTGACCGTTTAACTGTTCAAGTTGGATCAACAACGATGGTCTCAATCAAATGCATGTTCCTGCCTGTTGCTGATGTGTTCATCTAAACGGGGCAAAATCAGCAGGGTTTGGTTTCGCCCCGCTGGTGCATTATCCCATGCGCTGATCGCGCATCGGCTCTCAATCGGCTCAGAACCTTGGCAAATGCCCGGAATGCTTCACTATGCAATTGCTTCACTAGCCAAATGTGCATGAACTCTGTGTGCAATCTCCCTTTTTTCTGGCTACATGGTGCATCAGTGCAGGGCTGAATTGAGTGAAACTATGCAAGTCTGCACCATCTGTATAGGCGCATGAGACCGGCAATGCCGTCTACGGTTGGGAAACAACGGTGATCACGTGTGTTGGCGGCACTTGCAACTCCTCGTTGACCTTGGAGCCAAGGTACTGGTCCAGCAATGCCTCGAAACAAAGCGAGATGCGTCTGCAAGAGCCAGGCGACGCATGCGACAGTAAGTTGACATCGACAACCCAAAGCTGAAGCAAGGGAACCCCAAGTAAAGGACTTACAAAGGCACTGAGATGGCATTTGCAAAATTTACAACAATTCCAAACCTAAATTAAGACATCCCCGAGAAAAGAACCTCATGGTGAGCTCGTATTATTTTCCAGGTGAGCTCGCCATAAAATCATAAAATAGGCAGATCGATCATCCGGAAACCGCGTGCCTTGAGCTCCTCGTTCTGCTTTTGCATGGCAACTGCAGAGTCAATAGCCTTGCTACGCTTCTGGAGCAAATCGTAGTAGCGCTTCAAGAAGACGTCCAGCGCCTGGACATTCCGAAAATGAACCTCTGACTGATAAAATTCAAAGGCAGCCATGAACCGTGCGAACTGCGCTCCCAAGCGTGAAGAAAAATGATATGCTCACGCAACACGAGCGATGCAGCGATGCAGCGATGCAGCGATGCGACGCAGCGCGAGTCCTTCCAGACGCGGAAGTTCATGTCGGGGATGACGTGGCCCATGCGCTCCCAGAACTTCCGCTCCTCGCGCCTCCTCCGTGCCTTCCGGTCAGCCTCGCTCTCGCTGCCCAGCTGCTGGGTGCGCGCCTGGACCAGTTGATCCACTTGCGCTTATGTTGACCGCATGGTGAAGTAGTGAAATTGGTTCCCTTTAAAACAGAGGGAAACAAAACAACATAGTGTTCACCCAAAATACTTGAGTCACATTCAAAACCTAGTGTGGTCCACCCAGAACCATGTAAAGAACGAAGCAGGCAGCCGCAACTTGCTCCTTACCAACCTTCACTAATGCTGCCCCCATAATAATCAACCAACCAGTTTATTGTTAGGGGATGCTTGTCCGATTCGGGGTGAAATGTGGGGAATGAGACCACTTTTGGAGGCCTCTATTAGCAAACTGGGGTTGATTAATATGGGGTCAACATTAGTAGCACTGCAACATCAAAACGCATATGCAGGCTATCCAGAGCTGGATCGACCCATGGCTAGCGCCAATAGGCACAGCTCGCGTCTCCCATCTGCCTTCTTTTTCTTGTCTGGTGCGACATCTGCAATACGAGCATTCTCCTTCTCCTGGCTAGTTCCCGGCCAAAGAAAGAGTCCCAGAAAGTGGGATGCATCTGTTGCATGGGCTTGGGGTGTGCAACTTACCAGCTCCTGGATGAAGTTCTTCAGGAGTTGCAGCACGTCGTCCGGCTCCACCATCAGCGCCTCGTCATCCTCCTCCTGCCCATGGTAGAACACCTGCACCAGCAAGTCGACATCCTGACAGGGTGATGGGTGAGACGGAGCCATTGCTGGGAACGTGGGACACGCGCGGCTCGCCCCCAATGGCCCAAGCCGCCAAATGCCGCTCCTGCTGACCCTCCACGCCGATGTACCGCAGCAAAGCATCAATCTGGAGCACGTCCCGTTGTTCCGGGGGGAGCTCCGCCAACTGGTCTCGGACCTGCCAACAGGCCTCTTACCATGGGCCAAAGACCTGGAAAAAACAAAAAGGCCTTCCAGGCGAATGTAAGCCTATTCAAAACATAGGGCGCTGTCCTTAGAGTCTGAAAGGCGAGGGAGGGGCCTATGCAAAGGCCTGAGAGGACGCTTGCCTGTACAGGATATGAGGCAGGCTGTTACAAACACGTGCACCAACATCACTCACCAATCCAATCAACGCAACGGAGTGTACCCGGGGCGCTTCAGAAGATCCCCCTTTGTCCGCAAGAACTGCGTGAGGACAGCTGTTCAGGGTGTGTCATCCTCACCTTCTGCTGCGCTTGCCAACAGGGCATGGGGTGACGCCAAGAAAGCACGGTGTGCTGCTTGTATTCGTGATGTTCGTACATACACATGCCTCTGCGCAGCCTGTTTTGGGGGGAGCTGTATTGCAAAAATGCCGGTGCATCTGCAAGCAGCCGAAGCCATAGATTTGTTTTCCCTCATGCAAAACAATGCAACAAATTGAGACACCTGGCATAAGGAGGGGCCAAGTACAAGCGCCCGCTCACAAGGAAGCAGCCATTTTGCTCGCCAAAAGTGAAACCTGGTTCAAGCTTTCCTGGCTGTTTGTGGGGCAGCATTTCTAACGCCGAGAATGGAGCAGGCGCAGGCCTTGGAAGACTTGGGAGAAGCAGGAACCTAAATGCCCCAAAACTGCACTCTTGGAGGGTGGGGGAAGTCTCGCGCACGGTGGGAGTTGCAAGGAAATCAGAACATGCTGCTTGGGGGCAAAAGGAGGCTGCGCTTCACCACTGCAGAGCCGGGCAAGTGCAGCCGACAATATGATTCGGCCGGGCTGGGCAGTAAAAGCAGGCTAAGGTTTTGGGGCGAACGACGTGAGTGCGAGCGCCGTGCCTTCAACCTTCCCAAGGGTGACAGCACGCTGGCCCTGCCGAGCCTTCATGTCCAACAAGAACTGAGTCTCATCCTTGATGAGATCCAGCACCTTCTTCACCTTCGTGGCGGAGAACTTGCCGCTGTCTGATTGGCCCATCTCAGCAGATTCCAGCGCTGTGCTTTTGCCAGTGGTGGTGCCGGACTCGGAGAAGGTATCAAGCTCCTGCAAGGCGAGAGGTTCCTTCGAGCCTGGCCGCCTGGCGCCAGGCGCCTGGCCGCCTGGCCGTGGCCTTTAACTGAAGTCATGCCATGCTCAAGCCCACGCCTGCTGCAGCAGTTCCTCCTTGGGAGGAACCCATTCATGGCCTAGCTGCTGCTCGTGCAAAAGCCGATCCGCCTCGAGTACCTCAACACACGAGACTGCAGAGGCGAATGTCACCTCCTGGAGAGCTACCCTCCCTCAGGCTTAGATGGAAGCTTGCAGGCAGCCAGGGTAAATGGAAAGACTTTCAAAGGGGCTCTGGGAGCTTCCATGTTGGCGCAATACCCACACGATACATCTCGTGTGCATGGCCTTCGTCATGAGGCCGCGAACCTCCGCCTCATTCATCTCCCAAACCTCTCGGAATTTCTTCTCATCCGCCTGCTCGAAATGCTGAAACTTCTCCTTGGCACAGTAAGATTTCTGCAGATCTGGCAGGTGGGGAGGCTTCCAGCACACACGATAGCTGGGGCGTTACATGCACAACCAAAGTGATGGCAAATGGAAGCAATGCTTACCATGGTGCCTGCAGGTCCTTGAACTGCTTTGTCAAGCGCTTGTACTCCTCTGTGAGCTCGTGGTTGTGTGTTTTGTACTTCTGATCCAAGGTGTTGTAGCGGCTCATCAACGTGTTCAGCGTCTCCCGGAGCCGATTCAAGCGATTTTTGTAGGAAGACTGGATAGCAGTATGCTCTTTGTTTCGCTCTGATAGGACCTGCAAATTGTACTCCAACTTTTCCTGGCGAATCATTGCCATGGCATTCCCAGCAAGCATACAGCACCCTAGACATTCAACGCAGCACACCATGGCATCCTTGTTGAGCAAGTAAGTTGCAAGCATCTTCTCCAAATGCTGCTCCAACTCCTGCCAGTGTTTTCATCTCTCACACATTGCTTCCAAAAACGGTAGGAGCAAGCAACGCAGGGCGAGTCATGAGTCACATCCCAAAGCAGTGGCCCCGAAAATATCCTGAATCCCTTTCTCCAAGGCGATCTTGCACTTGTTGTAGCTGTCTGCGTTGTCCGTTCGCAACTCATCAATCTGCAGCTGAAAGCCCCTCTCTCGCTCCTGGCTGGGTAGGCTAAATGAGGAAATGCCTTGATGTCCGTTCACATGTGCCCAACGGCCTTTTTCAGCGTAAGAACAAGCCTACGTAGAAAGAATATCCGATGCAAATTCAGAAAGTGTTTGGATTCGACCCATTCGAATTCTGGCTTGAAATGAACAAGCGGGGTCAATAAAATATTCACTGACAAACAATACATGAAAGGCTTCCACAATTTCAACGGGCACTGTTCCAAATTGTTGTCTTCGAAGGATTTTGCTGGGGGGAATTGATCGATCAAGTCTGTCCTGCCGTCTTTCCAGGAACTCATTCTCCTCCATTTGGCGGCGCTTTTCGAAGAGAGCCTCGATTTCTGCCTGCAGGGCAATGTTGGTAAGGCTTTACTGGGGCACCTAGACCTCATACCTCGCACCTGCTTTTCCAGGAGCATTTCTTGGGCACCTGGCAGACCTCTCAGTGATTCAGTCAAGGCACTTTATTCTTCTGGAGCATTTCCTTCCTCTCCTCCTCGAAGGCTTGTTCGATATCCTCCAACTGCTGCTCGTAGTGTTGCCTCAAGGAGTGGTACTGCTCGCGCATCTTGGAGATTAATGTAGTGATGTCCAAGCTCTGCTGCTTCAGCATCTTAATGTACTCCTCATCTTTGTTCTTCAACTCTGTCTTGAAATCCTCAATGCGCCTGTCCTTTGATTCGATGATCTGCCTGCAGGCACTCTTTTGAAACTGAAGCTGGTCATTCAGCTCCTGGGGGATGTCCATGTTCAGGAGGTCAGCCCATTTCATCTCAATGGCCGCATTCTTGCGGCCGCTGGTCACAGCTTCAATCCTAAGCGTTCTACAAGACACTGTGCCTGCCGGCTGCCAGTGGTAGCCGGCAGGCCCTTGAGTCATGAGACATAAAATAAAAGCATCAGCCCCTCCCGTCACTGCCTTGCCAAGGTTCTGCAAGGCCTCATACCTGTCGAGGCGGTTGTTCTCCTCCACGATTCGCCTTTGGTTTTCCTGGTCATCGAAGCGGACGCGTATGCTGGTGAGCTCATCCCAGGTTTCAGTGCGGAATCGCTCGAGCTCTGCCACTGACTTTCCGTACTGCTCTTTGCCAAGGGAAACCTAAGCAGGCGCATGCAGGGATGAAAATGATCTTGCACACGCAAATCATCCAGAATTCAAAAAGATTATCAACTCCATGGGCACACTTTGGATGCAGTTTATGTGACCTGCTCCGCGGCATCATCCTTCTTCGTCTTCTTTCCTTCTGCTTCCTCCTTGTCCTGCTTCAGCTTTGTCTCTGCTCGGGACCGCCGTGCTGCTATCCGCTCATCAGAGCTGCCCAGGTTGGAGATGTCCAGCGTGCTGAGTGTACCAGTCATTGCCGGCCACCTCTCGCTGCTCACACTCGCACCGTCGCAACTACAAAGCTTCAAGCAATCGCATCCTCAGGTCCAGCCTCCAAAAGAGGCCGCACTCTGGAGACTTTCTGGATGGATACGCCCTCTTTCGAGCCGAAGTCCATGCTGCACGTGCTCGTGACCATCCATGTGCGTGGTGGGTGTGGGTGAGGGTGTGTGGGTGTGGGTGTGGGTGTAACTGGGTGTGGGTGCGGGTGCGGGTGTGTGCGCATGGCCAAAAAATGTGTTTGCAAAGCCATCGCAAAAGATCGCAAGCGCAAGGCAAGATGCTCAGTGCAAACATGTACATTTCTTCTGTCAAAGCCACTGCTCTCATGAGAGCAAGCCACGGCATGGCATGCTATCAAGCCCCCTCTGGCTGGGGGCACCAGTTTGTTTGCAAGCAGGCACATCCAAGCAACCCTGGCATCGCAAGGCTCCCCCACCTGCCCATGAAACATCAGTCCAAACAATGCAGCTTGCTAGGGAAGGCTTGGCGACGTGTAATAGTTGAGGCTACGCAGGGTCGCTTGGATTCTTTCGCTGTCTTGCTCGGCACCTCCCTCACCACTCATGAGTCTTTTTGTAGTCTTCAATCATTTGCTTGTTCCAGTGCCTTGGCTGCACATGCTGCATGTCCAACTCAGAGGTTCCCACAGGATGCCGATATATCCTCAGGAATAGCCTTAGGATCTGTGAAAGGGCATTGACCTGGTGTGTGGCGGCTGGCGGAACCAAGTCACATTTGGATGTTGAAGGGGATGTAGCACAGTGTGATGGCCAAGATGTGGCGAAAGACGCGCCAGGCAATCCAGCGGTCGGCGACAAACAGGATGTGGGCTCAGGCTGCAAAGTTTACGCTTGATAAAAACAGTTTTGGCACTTTAATCAATGGAATGCTCAATATCAAGGGACTGGCACTTTGAACTGACACACCTCAATGCTGGCACACCTCGACAGTGGCACTCGGAGCTTGCCCTCAGATCTCCCTGCAGCACGAGTGGCCAAACTCCCAGCAAGGGTAGAAGAAGTTGGCGATCCAGCCCTTGGGCATCTTGGGTCGGCCGTAGTCGTAGCGCCCAGGGCCGTAGTAGATGCGTCCCAGGGTGCACAGGCCACCTGCCGAGTTCTTCTGCCCCGGGTATCCGAAGCCTTCAATGATCTCCTGGTTGCCCGAAGGCTCGTTTCTGGCAAGATGGCCCAGTGGTGCAGGACGAAATCATCTGTTTTGTGGTTTGAAAGCCAGGAATCTTAGTGCAGCCAGCTTCCATTGCCTTGGCTTCGTGAGACCCTGTTCGGAAACATATGGGTGTCAATAATTAGGACCCTCTGGGGACATTAATTAGGGTGGGGAAGTATATATGCACATCCTTCATGCGGGAGAGAGTTCTCTTTCCAAAGCCATATGGCACCCCACGTTGCTTGCATGTCTTTGCTTGCCCTCTCCTTGTACTTGGGCGGGTTCGTCATGTTCTCGCTGATGTACTTCACGGTGTCCGTCAGGGTTTCAGCTGGCGCCTGTTGGTGTGCACCCCCAAAGCCGGGCGCGCCCGGAGGGGCATGATCGCCATAGCCGAAGGCTTGCTTCCTTCAGGGATGCAACATGCATCTAAAACTCTTGGCCAATTTATGCAAGTGTCGAAGGAATTTCCTACTACACCATGCGATTGCATTTTAGGGAAGCTGCCCAACATATTCCCAAATAACAAAAATAACCACACTGCATCGGAAGTAGGCAAGAATTCGGTGATTTCCTAGAGGGCGTAGTCCTAGGGTGTACTAGGAAAACCCTTCGAAAGTTGAGTTTCCGGGGCATGTCATCCTAGGACATTTGATGGAGCTCAAAGTGTCGTTTGTCTTTGTCCAAGCTTGGCTTTTCCAAGAGGCAGGCTCCGTTGACACTTGGCCTGAAACACACGTAGCGCTGCTCAAGGCGTGTGGGGTCGACTTGATCTGGGGCTCAGGTGCCTTCAAGGCAGAGTAAAGGTTTGTGTGTGTGGGTGGGCGTAGCAGTCGTTTTTGGTGGGATTAGGCAGGGGTTAGGGCTGGGAAACGTGCTTGGCTTAGGGTTGGTCAAGGGGTTTAAGGCTGAGTTGCCGGTGGGTTTGAGAGTTGGTTTTAGCCGATGCCACCGAAAGCCTCACAGCTGCAAAGCCACGAGAGCCACACAAAAATCAACAGAAGGTAGTCTAACGAAACGGACAGAACAGCTGACAACAGGTCTTCAAGTTGCCAATATCTCTTGTTTGGCACCTTTGTGGAAGATATTCTTCAAAGGCTTCTCGACCTCTCTTAATCCTCGCCTCACTTTCTCCCCATGGCCGGCCACCGCGCGCAGCGGGTGGCCGCGACGCAGCGCCAAACGTTGCACCGAACGCAGCATTGCGCGGAACAAAGCGGGGGCTTTGGAAATTCAAAAGCCGTGAGCCGGGCGGCGGCGTTGCACGAATGGATTCCAGCTGCAAATGTTACTGTGATTCCAAAAGCTGAACTAAGGGACCCCCAAGTAAAGGACCCTTATCATGGGTGAGCTCGTCCTACCTCCACGTGAGCTTGCAATAAGATAGGCAGATGGATGCATTGACAGGGAATCCCGAGAGATCCAAAGCATTGAAATTGCCTGTGGAAAAAGAGCATGCAACTGAGCCCACACAGAAATCAGCAAGTGTGCTACTCACACGCTGGGGTCCCAGCTCGGCATACGGGTGCATGCGCTCCTGAGACGAGGGGCTCTGACAGGCGAAAGTTGGCACACAACGATTTGAGGCCGATTCAGTTGGCTTGATGCAGCTGAAGAGGGCTCCAAAGCGACTAGGCCTCGTCGCAGTTGTGCCAAGTACTGAATCACAAGCACGGAAACACACGGCCAGCAGAAATCTGGCGCGGCTTGGCACTTTTTCATTGAGGGCCCTGCCAGAAGTCCCAAAGCAGAATGCTGAACATAGTCGCCGTGGCAAGGTCCATGATGATCTGCAGCCAGTTTCCGGCACTTGAGTGCTTGGCAGCACACTGCACTAGAAGCCAGCTCACCGAAACTGAAACCGATGAAGCAAGGCCCGGACAGCTTCACGATACCACGAGTCTTCGCTCGAAAAGAGCATGATGAACTCAGCATAGAGCAGCTAGCCAAGCAGCAAGCACCGGCCAAGCTAGCTACTAGTGTCGTTGGATGGCACCACTTGCAAAATGTCACGTGGTATCGTAGCAAGCCTGCCACTGAGGGCATGACAGGCATTATCAGCATCCAGGCTGCAGACAGAAAAGCGAACCTCCAACATTGTAGGGCCAGTGCTGTGCATCGGAAATGCTGCACGTGCAAGCAAGCGCATGGTAGTTACCCAATTGATGCCTCAAAATGAAGGGCTTCTTCTCGGCAGCTTCAGACGCCTTCCGCTTGCCCATGCCAGCGCCACACGAAACACACACGATAAGCAGGACGGCCCCAAGGCATGACACAAAGACGGCAGAACGAGCCTGTGCCAGCGTGAAGCCCTGGTTGAGGCAGAAAACCCCTGGTCCACGCGATGATTTCCCATCACGCGATCATTTCTGCTCGCTGACTTCACGCTCCAAGAGGCAATCAGACGTGTTGTTTGACTTCCTGGTCGCTGCCGCGCCTGTAATGGTTCTGCTCAGCAGGTATGGCCTGAGCACGCCATGATCAAAACCACGTGCCGTTGCGCAATGGATAGCAGCAGGAAAGACTCTCTCATGGGGGCTGGGGGGGGAGGGAGGGGAGGGGGAGGGGGAGGGAGCCCAAACATTTCCTAAATAAGGCCTTCTTAAGGGCTCAATAACGGCTTATTTGGGGCTCCCTCTCCCTCCCCTCGCTCCCCCCCAGCCCTCAGGACTCTCTGCAGCGCAACTCAAATGTTGTGCTGGGTGATGTTGACAGTGCTGGCCGTGTCATTCAATATCCCACATCCAAACGGACAGTGCAAGATACTGCTAGCAAACAAGTTGCATCTCAGCGCGGGTCATTGCTGCTGGACCTCTTAGCACCCCAAAGGGGCTGATTGGCCCATCTACCTGCACGAAATCGCGCTGGGATGGACCAAATGCTTGTAGAAAACGCCTTGAAGCCACAGAAGAGCGTCGATAGGAGGAACGTGCCACCGAAAGAGCCCGCTACCTACAGCCGAGGGCAAGGCCACATGGGACATGTCGAGATTTGGTGCGGCTTTGGGAAGGTGCAGCCTGGGACGAGATTTCTGGGCACTGAGGGCAATGCCCGAATCAGTGCCGTTCTTTCAGCAGATCCGACCGGGATGCAAGGCCTCTGGGGCAGGAAATGCTAACTTCTGAATATGCGTCAGCATTGTCATGGCACGGGGGCAAGCCAAAAACCCTGCCTCACGACATAAACACCATGAACCAAAGCCACTAAGACCACCTGGTGCGCAGTGCAAATTTGTAGTAGAAGCTGACACTTGGCCCGGCAGCTGAATTGTAAAGCCAAAAGCCTCTGGGCCTGTTAGGTCCATGCTGGCATGGGAGAGGGTTACTGTTAAGATCTGTCAAGCTTTGATTGCAAAAAGTGTCAGAGTTGCCATCGCCATCGTGGTGGAGAGAAAGTCCAGGAACTGCGCTACGAACAGGAGCATTCCAAGACCTGTCCGTGAAGCCATGAATCGCCTGAAATTCTGAGCGCATGCCGTCCAGTTGTGGAATCCTTGCTTGCACAATCTCAAAGCTCACAAGCCCATGTAGCCTGCATATTTGATTACAAAAACCAAAACTATTCCCGTGCTGATCTAGTGCTGTGCGCCGCGCCCATGCCATTGTGTGAGTACACCAGGAGGTGCACTGTAAACAGCCAAACCTGAAGCATCCCCACAGGCTTGGCTTCACCCACAACCTGCTGGCGTTCATGGGAAGGTGCGCAGTGCGCATTGGGCACCGGGCACGCACACCAAAGAAGGCCGCAGATGTAAAGAACAACGCCGATACATCGTTGTGGGCCTCCGGGAAACGGCGTCAGAAGTATACAACACAGTTAGCTGCAACTTGCCGTGGTTTCTAATACCCAGCAATCACATGCCCGAACACCCACAATCCCATCCTGTCGGCGATGCAGCGTGCGCAGTGCGCTGAAGAAGGTTGGACCCAGCAGCAAACAGAGCAATGACATCCTGAGGCAACTCGGGGCAATTGCGGCAGAATGAGGCATAGCACCTTGAACGACACGCCAACTCAATGCAACTGCTGGTTTTGAGTGTGGAGAATCAACTTAAGTGGGCATCCAACTCATGGCCGCTGGAGCATAACAAAAAGCAACTTCATTGTGAACTGCTGGCCAGAAACCATGCAAATGAACACAATCCAGCTTATGCATCTATGCGCAAGGGTCACATCTTGAGTAGGGCAACGATTGAACACTCCAGGCTATGACTGAGGCAAGCACCAAATGTAGTTCTGCAGAATCCCCTGGCCAGGACAACAGGCACCGTGCGGCAATGGCTGCGCCCAACCAAAACCGCCTACTTCTATGTTTGCGTCCAGGTTCCTGGCCTGCTCCGCGCATGCGAACTGCTGGTCAAACATGCTGGTGGGGTTTGTGAACTCTACAATGTACCTGGCAAAGCCAAAGGCAGCACTGTATCAACGCATTCAATCTCCAGCAAAAGCCCGCTAGCTGCGACAACCAGCATGCGATTTCACGCACTGTCAGCAAGTCACCGGCAGCGTGTGACCAGCAGTTCGCCCCAAGACTGGCACCTTTTTCGCTGAATCCTTTGAGTTCATCGATGGCATTTCCACTCTATGAGCTTGAGCCATCGCCCCGGGCTTCATGGCTTTTGCCTGAAGCAAATCCAGCGATATCGACAGGTTCTTGGTCTGGAAAGGCGTCTCAAGCTCGCAAAGCTCTGGCATCCTCAGCATGAAGCGTGGCCATCACTGAAGCATTTTGTTCAGCCCCCATTTCCGGTTACCTTCGGTGGTTTGGATTGGTGGTTCAGGGGTTTGAACCCCTGGTTCTTGTCAAGGGTAAATGGGAAACCACTCATAAACACTGAACCACCAATCCAAACCACTAACTAGGGGCAAGCTGACCATTCGCCTCACGCAGCATTTTCCAAAGCACCACCTAGCAGTTAGAATATCAATGAAACTCTGAACCGCAGGTCCTGAGCTCCACTCAAACTCCTGTTGCTCTACTCGCAACCCATTCCTTCAGCCGCAAGGTGGGCCAAGGATGATTCAGCACAGTGCCGAACCCGCAAATGCGTTCCATCGTGCACCAAGCGAATAATTGGCTTTGCTCATTCAGGCTCACTTGGCACACGCCCCGCTCATCTACCAGTACTATGATAAGCCTTAACCAGCCACAATTCGGCATGTTTTGGCTTTCCAGCTGGTGCTGGCCTGCGATCATGCTTTCATAGAAAGCTGGCAGCTGCAACCTTTGACAGTTCGACGATGAGTAAAACTAAGCAAAGCAGACTGGCTAAACTTGACTGGAGCACCAAGGCAAGGAGTGTGAGACATGCAAGGTGTGGAATTCTGGCATTCGCGCAAATGTCCGCTAAATGCGGACGATGTGGCATTCAATGATTCTTGACCAGTCTCGCACACTCCTTCAACCCTGAGGAATGCTGGAGGAGCACACTCCTGCGCATTCCTTGGTTGCCCTCAGTGCCTCCAAGCCTAGCCTGGGCCGCTGGAATGGCAAGGCGGTTCTGCAAAGGATGCTGTGGGGAACACAGAGACCTGTGCTGAATCTATCACTGTCACCCCTTCCAAGCCGTGCGTGTTCAGCCAGGGCTTTTGCAACGCTCAACATGACAAATACGCACGAAGAAAGCAACGGCAAGGAACACACACACACAGCTCCAATGAGACCATCCCACCTTCAGATCAAAGGTCCGCGATGCCGTCTGACATGCCAACTGGGCTCCATTGACTTCCCCAGACCCATGCCCCTGCCTGATCTTCAGCTGGCAGTACCCGTCAGCACGCCTGAAACCAAACGAAGAAAGCGCACCCTCTGGTCGATAGAGGTTTTCCAGATCAACCGTCTCTGCCGTGGCACTGGTGACTCCCTTGACCAACCCCTGCTGCTCAATCACGTCTGGGAAGGATTTCCTGAGGTGAAGCGAGGCTCACAACTTAAAGGTGAACTCAAAAGCAGTTGCTTTTTGTGGGGGATCAAAGGCTTGGTGCCCCTCCCCTGACAAAGTACGCGCCCAACTCATAGGCCACGCCGGGAAAAACTCAGCTGGCCATGTCTGAACGGTGCCGAGGATCATCAAGGACCAGAGCGTAATGAAGAATAGCTGCAGTATAAACGCAATGCTTTGTTGCAGAGTAATGGGGTCTCCAAAGATGAGGCTGCTGGCAGAAACAATGAGTGCATCCTGGCAAACTGGCAAAGGCACGAAGTGTTTGTGTCTGCCTAATTGTCGGCCACCCTCACTCCCTCTCCCTCCCTCTCCCTCCTTCTCGCCCTCCCTCTCGCCCTCCCTCGCACCCCCCCCCCCCCTCCCTCTTCCTCCCTCTCCCCCTTCCTTTATCTCACCCTCCATCCGTCTCACCCTCCATCCCTCTCCCTCCCTTCTCCCTGCCCTCTCCCCCTTCCATCCGTCATGAAACCTGCCAGTACTGCTCAACGAGTTGGAACAGTTCTTGATTAACGTGCGTAAATAACAATAGATACATAAATAAATATAATAAGTTAATATATGGGTAAACAAATAAATGCATAAACAAATACACAAATAAACAAATAAATTAACAAACAAAAGCAAAATAATTAAACACATAGATAAACAAATACATAAAAATACACAAACAAATAAATAAATGAATAAAAGAATGAATAAATATTTACATATGGACACAGATATATATATATATATTCGATATGTTGATCTAATCTATTTTGCCTCGGCACGGCAGCCATCCTTCACGAAAAACAAATTACTTTCGCGAATCTCTCGCGGATTCATCGCGGCGCACAACAGATTGCTAGAGTCAGAAAGTCGTACAAAAAATGAACTTCCGGCTAGAAAGTCGCAACTGTTCAGTACTGACGCAATGCACATACCTATGACAATGCGAAGAAACGATTGGCCTGCGGAGCAAACTTCAAACTCCGCCTACCCGGCCTGACTATAATCATATTCCCTTCGTTGGTTGGGCCTGCTCCAAAACGATCGGTATCGAACCAGAAAACACGATTTACACGTGCGGTCCCTTGTTTTGGGAGGGCGGCGGCGGCGGTTTGTTGACTAGTGGGCCCCAAGAATGTACCAAGGGCATCGGGGCCAACTGACTCGTCTCTTGGACATGTCTTGCCAAACCTTGCAAGCCTTCACCTGCTGTTATGCGACGCTGCTTGCCGGTCGCACCATCTTTGCAAACCCTCAACTAGGCCCGCTGACGGGGTACCTAATTCTTGTCGCAGCATTCTCCTGGCGCAACACTGCGGCGCCGGCGCTCAATTAAGGCCTAGCTTCTGGCGCCATATTGGACGGCGCTAAATACCAGCTTCCTGGCGCCACGGGTGGCGCTGAACCTGGCTTCCTAGGGCTTGGCGATGAAGTAGCTCTGCTGAGGGTTGGTGCAATTGGTGGCCCGCACGCTTTGCGAGAAGGTGGCACCATCTTGGGTCAACTTTTTTCGGCTGAAAAGCATCATGACTTGGGACCAGCCAGGGCACTGCTTTGAGAAAGCCCAGCTCTTCCAGCATTTTCCGAGCGATGCTGAAAATTTCGGGACTTAGTCTTTGCAAACAAACAGCCGCAAAAGCGCACTTACATGCGGGACACCCCAGTGAAAGATGCCTAGTGGCCTCTTACAGCCATAACAGGGGTGGCAGCAAATACAGCCGGGTACGCGCCGGTTGTCTTTACACCAATACACACGCGGCATTTTGCGGGTGTGCGGGCGTGCTGCACGAGTTTCTGACGCTGTTTCTCGCGCAGCAAGTGTCACTTGCGTATCATTGTCATTTGCGTGTCCTTGCGCGTCATTTGCGCGGTACAGCCTGTCACCTGTGTGTCAGTCTCACTTGTGCGTCACTGCGTGTCATTTGCGTGTCACTTGCGCGTCACTTGTGCGCCACTTGCACGTCACCGCGCGTCCAACCCCGGTTAGGAGAAACACTATCTACCTATACGTGCGCCCCCCTCAATTCCAGCAAAATAGGCCATGCGGTGGGACATGAGCTCGCATGGTCAAGTAACGGCCGTTGTGTAGGAGTGCCACTTCTCTACATGTGGAAGTACCTTCCAAACAAACGGGCTGTTTAAATGTCTACAAAATAATGGTCGTTGGATTGCGCTGGTTGTGGATGACGGGCGCGGTGTTCGCGCTTCAACTCATCTTGGCACGAAAATCTAGTTCGGGCACCAATTTGTCGTCGCCAGGTAAACTTGTCTTCGTGCAATTCGTCTTCGCAACTCGTCTTCGCTCCGTCATTGGTTTTCGCAATTCGTCTTCGCGGAATTCGTCTTCGCGGAATTCGTCTTCGCGGAATTCGTCTTCGCGGAATTCGTCTTCGGAATTCGTCTTCGCTGGGTTTTTCGCAATCGACACGGAGCTTGTCTTCGCAACTTGTCTTCGCCTTCCTGGAACTAGCCCTTGCGGCTCGATTCCGCTGCGCAAGTCGCGTTAAGCGAAGCGTCGTCTTCGCCTGGAAATTTGTCCTCACGCAGCTCGTCTTTCGCAATTTGTCTTCGCTGGGTGGCTTTGCTGGGAATTCGCCTTCGCAATGTGTCTTCGTCTTCGGTTGGATTTTGGATGTTCCCCAGGCGGGTCCCGTGTAATTATATCATCCCCGGACCTAGGCCCCCGCACCGTGATTGCCGCAGACTTTCAGGAGTTTGTTGCCTTGGTAGATGAGAGACAGCCAAAATCTTGGGGAGTTGATGTTCTCGAGCTGTGTGGAGGCATACATGCGCTTGCGCCGTGGCATGAAGGTTGGACAGAATTTGGACTTGATAATGGGCTGCGAAGGCACTCAAATCTCCTTGCGTATACTGTGTTTTCAAAATTCAATATAACTTCGTTCTTTTGAAAACTTACAGTGTTGCCCATGCGTTGCTATACAACCTTTCTCGTAATGCTTTGTTGATAGCTCCTTTTTTGCGAAGGCGTGAGATCAATGTTGACAACAATGTGTTGGTTGGTCATTGCTTACTTTAGTTCTATAACCAATAATTGTTGTTTATCCTTTAGAGTATCATCAATTTCAATCACATTGGTTGATACTGATTATTTTGTTCAGACCGTTCAGTATGTGCCTTCCCAGTGAAAGATAGTGTCATTCAATTTGTTGTAGTGGAGCATGCTTGCGAATTGGTTTTGTCAATGTTATCAAACACTGCAGATGAAACACAGAATTTAAAACAGTTGTTGTCATTGTGTTGAATGTTAATGCGAGTCTTCTGAAGTTTAACCCATTCTGGGTAAATCGGTATAACTACCCGCCCTTGTCGGGTCATAACTGTCACAATGCATTGTTGTTGATAATATGTGTTGCATTCTAAGCTGAACACACTGAACTTTCTGACTTTTCAACATTCAATAAAAGTTGATGAAATTTCTTTACCATCATTTAAACACTCATCATAAATGTTAGACCTTGTCGCTGGTAGCTTGTAAAGTAACTCCGCATGTCTAAACTCCATCATTATCACAATATTTAAAAGGTAACCTGCTGCCTTAATAATATGACCAGGTAACCGACACCCCCGCCCAGGCCAAGGCGCGAGCCAAGAGGCAGCCAAGGCGCCGCGAAGCGACCGACCCGCAAAAAACCCCGCCCTCCCCGCCCTCCCTCCCAAGGCCAAGATTGCGGCAAGCTGCATTCAGCTGTTTGGGCGCGACGGCTTCTCAGCCCAAGCCTTCGCCGAAGTCCAGGATTGAAACTGGGGCGTACTGGGGCGACCTCGCCGAGCCATCGTTTCATCTCGCGACCACTAATGGTCATCTGCTCCTCTAAGCTCCACATTGTGTGGAAAGAACTAGCTGTGAGACTCTGAGCCAAAATTTCTGCTGGACAGGTGCGTCAACTCGTGAGGATTAAGTCATGGGCATCATGGGAGTTGCAAAAAGTCTGGCGCAAAGCTGGCGGCTTTCCTAGCGCCACCAGTGGGATTCACAAAATCCTGCTGCGTGCCGTCTTAAAAAGCAAACTAAAAAACACATTTCCAGATATGATTTAACTGTGTTGGAAGAACTGAGAGAGAAGTTCAAATTGCCTTTCACATAGAGGCATTTGCAATGACAATGTAAATGGAATAGTTTATTGTTGCGGAAGAACCCAAGTTAAACAAAGTAATCATGTGTATATATATATATGTGTGTGTGTGTGTGGCAGCGAACGTTGTAGACGTGCCTTGGAAATAAACACTCAATTCAAGGAAAAACCAGTGCTTAACCTAGCAGAGCCCGATGAAGACGATGATTGAAACCATACTATACTTATAACATTTAACAACCTTGTATGGCATAATTGTCTCATAGTCATCACTCATTAATAGTAGAATGGTGTCTATGTTATGTTTCCTAAAAAAATTACATCGTTCAATGTTGGTTGTTTTGACGTGGTAGGCTCTGTCCGGCCCTTGCTTGCTTTTCTGTTGAAATGTGCCTGTTGGTACGTTGCTTTGGAACTTGATGATGATGTGTGCTTTCGAGATAGGGGTCTTATTTGTTGTGTTGAATGTGTTTCGTTGGTACGCTTGAAATTCTTACTCGTGTACACTTTGAAGGATTATACAGTTCAATAATAAGGATGGGTCCAGTGAACAATTCATCAAAATGTAGAAGTAACAAGTCTAAAGACACATTTACTGGTGATAATATTCCATGTGAGGACTGGTTGAAAGCATGAAAGGGGCTACCAGAGAAGATATTGGAGAGAATAATTGAGGAACAGAGAGGATATGATTGATACGAAGGTGAAGTTGTGATGTGTGCAAATGTTCAATGAGTCAAGGTCATGTTTTCGCAAGCATCAAAGAACAGCAAAGCATCACATATTTTTAAAAAAAACATGTTGAGGAATAATGATTGAACAATTAAATAAGGCTAATCATATGACATTGATATACTTGTTATATGTATAGCAAATGAATAAGCAACTACTCAAATTGCGTATGTGTGCATTCATTGTATAAGTATCAGAAAAACCCTTGCATATAGTGGGTGCGGATTTCTTTTGGGATTTTTTCGGATTTTTCTTGGATGTTTTTTTCGTTTTCCGTCCGGGCCAGCAAAAGATCGTATTTTACAGCATTTTCTCGCAAAATCGACGCATTTTACACTAGCCCGCCAACATCCCCAGCATCGTTTTCAACATCCCCCGCATGTCCGACCAACATCCCTAGCATCACCAACAAATTGTGGGTAACAGAATCAAAAAAGTAGCTGGCGGGTTGACGGGGTCAAAGAATGATGATTCAAATAGGAGGGCAGTTCACTCCCTGTAAAAAAAAACTAAAAAGTAGCGGGGGCGGCAGCCCCGCCCATGATGTTCGCAGAAGTGATGATTCGAATAGCTCTGCAAAACGTCTAAAAAGTAGCGGGGGGGTTGGGGGGGGCGGCAGCCCGCCCCCCATGATGTTCAAAGAAGTGATGATTCAAACAGGGGTGCAATTAAATCTCTGTAGAAAATCTAAAACTTAGCGGGGGGGCGGCAACCCCCCCCATGATGTTCGAAGAAGTGATGATTCAAGTAGAGGTGCAATGATTCAAGAACGGGTGCCATAGAATTTAAAAGGCAGCGGGAGGGTTGGCGGGGGTGGCTTCCCCTATGATGTTCGAAGAAGTGCATACATACAGACATACATGGATTACATAGATTACCTGAAATGTCGTATTTTACAGCATTTTCTCGCGAAATTGGACGCTCGAAAAAGTGATGATTCAAATAGGGGTGCAATTAAATCTCTGCAAGAAATCTAAAAAGTAGCGGAGGGGTTGGGGGGGGGGAGGCGGCAGCCCCCACCATGATGTTTGAAGAAGTGTTGATTGAAATAGGGGTGCAATCACTCTGCAAACAATCTAAAAAACGTAGCAGGTGGGTGGGGGGGAGCCCCCCCCCTGATGTTCGAAGAAGTGATGATTCAAATAGTAAGGGGGAAAACGGGTGATGCTGATGATGCGGGAAGCCAAATCCAAAAAACCATTGAAAGGGTGCAAGAGCCAAAATGCCCGGAGAGGAACTGGGAAAGCAAAGGATGCGAAAAGCCAAAGCCGCCAAAAGCCGCATAAACCAGCGAAAAGCCGCAAAAGCCAAAACGCCAACTGCCGAAGAGGAACTGGGAATGCAGAGGATGCAAACAGCCAAAGCCAAAAAGCCAACAAAAGCCGCATAAACCAACAAGAAGCCGAAAAGCCAAGAAGCCGAGAAGCCAAAAAGCCAAGAAGCCAAGAAGCCGAAAAGCCGAAAAGCCAAGAAGCCAAGAAGCCAAGAAGCCGAAAAGCCAAGAAGCCAAGAAGCCAAGAAGCCAAAAAGCCAAAACCGAAAAACTAATCCAAAAAAAGAGGACAAAAAAGAAGAAAAAAACCCTCCGTATATATTTGAAACCCTCCCTCCCCTCCCCTCCCGTCCCCTCTCTCCCTCCACAGGTCTCTGTTTGAGCTTTCTGTGCTGCGCGCTCTGCTCTCAAACAGCCTATAATGGCGCCTGTTTGACCTCGTCATGTCAGCATGGCTAAGGCTTATGCTGAACGTCTCTTTCCCTCTGTCCTTGATCAAGTTCGTCAACAGGAAGGACAGTGGCGAGCCATGTTTCAGGAAGTTGGCCACAACCACATTGAGCAGGAAGGCTACTACGATGTTACCTGCACCAGAGTGAGCCCTGGTGACCCGGCTGCACAATTGTGAGAATACACTGGTGCACAATGAATTTGCTCGCGCCTGCCAAAAGGTAGCCGCATTGATGAAATGCACTCCACTCAGGCAGCGTCAAGAAGCTAATTGGGGTCACATAGCTGTGGACGAAGAGAAGGCCTACATCTGTGAAGGCCACATGCAAGCTGCGCATGTGCACTGATCAATCTAACCAGCGAGTTGGATTCGCCAATCGCTAGCTTGACGGCCCGTCCTCCCAAACATAGGCAGCAGACAGGAGATACCACGGCAACGAAGGACAAGGGGTCCAGCTTTCGCCCGGCACCTTGGGTCACCCATTTGCAGCTCCGCGCAGACTCCGCTGTCCACTCCGCACAGAACCACTTCGAGTTCTTCGCACATCACAAAGCTTCATGCCGCTTACCCTAACTCGCTTGCAGAGCGCCCAAGGGCGTATGTTGGAACCAACCCATTTTGGTTCCGCTGTTTGGAGACCCCTTTCCTCTGACTCGGGCAATTTCTGAGTTCTGAACCTGCGAGGAGAACACCTCCGGAAGGCACTCTGAAACTCTACAGGCCGCAAGTTCCTTTGCTCCCTCCTACTTGGCACAGCCAAAACAGGACATGGCAACTGGGGATGTCAGCCAAGACTGAAGCAAGCAAATTTGGCATCTGCGAAGCTGTTCCCTGCGTGCCTTGCATTACCACCTTCGCAGACTCCACGAAGTTGCAGCACAGCTGCACAGAGAGCCTGCAAACCCCATCGGATCAAAATCAAGATCTTGGGGCGCAGGCCCTGCCCCAACATGGAGAAGTGAAGCTCGCCCTGCACCGTCAGGCCAGTTGCCAGCATGATGCACAGCAGCACCACCACCAGGTTTGTCCGGTACCTCTGCGCAATGCTGGGTGAGTGAATCCAAGGGTTTGGGACGAAAACAATATCAGAAGAAAAAAAAGCATTCCCGTGGCCAGGCCATCTTTGCCAAAGCAGCTTCTCCAGGCCAATCATAAGAGAAAAGATGAAGACAATGATCACGTTGCTTTGCTTGATCATCTGAAGGAAAGCCACGCTAGCCTCAGATTTTGGCGTGCAAAGGGCAAAGCCTGCTGAAAGCGTTAAAGATCCAACGTAGCCAGGCCACGTACTTGTATGCAGTGTTGCTGAGAATTAGCGAGGTCGCAAAGGTCAAGCCCACAGGAAGCACGCGGAAGGTCATGAACTCAGTGTCGATTATAACCTGCATCCGGCTGTGGTAGCCGCACAAAGGATGTGGAACACGTGAACCAATGGGCCAATGGGTGTGTCATTTTTTGAGGGTAGCCTGGTCTGTGGCTCTAAAAGGGAAAGACAAGACACACCTGAGAGCAAAAGGCCAAAGGTTGGGCCTTCTTGTCTGGGTCGCTGAGCGCTGGGAAAAGGCTGGGCTTCGCCAAGAAGAGGGCGCAGCCCAGCAACGAGCCAGAAAGCATATGTAGGAAGACCAGCCTATGCTCAACTTCGGCACTAAAGCCTCACACCAAGGACAGCCGCAAGCCAACTCAATCCAAGCAGCACCACTGGGTATGGAAACCTCAGGCTGCCAAATTTACCCGATGCATGGAGTGCCACCCGCCAGCCTCGAAGGATTCATGAGGAACTTGTTGTAATTGATCAGCGCCGCAGAAACGAAAATCAAGGCCACACTCCAGAAAGCCTGCACTTGGCACTTGCGCTTCTAGGTGGAAGGGGTCTGCTGCGCTTCCATGTTCGCGCCTTGGTTGCCAAGCTCGCCGGCGGCGTCTTGCTCAGCAGTGGCTTGTCCTCGGGCGCCTCGATGTTGGCCTGCATCATCTCGCACGACAAATTATGATCATTCGCACATCAACATTCGCCCATAGCGCAAGGCCTGAGACTTGGATTCCCGCATGTTGTCCATGGGGTTCAGTACCAAAGTTGTAGGACTTACCGTGGAGAGCCGGCTCAAGCAGCCGAGGGTAGCTAAAAATGCAGCGGATCAAGGTATGCTGAAGCTGGCCCACACTGCCTTGATGCAACAAAAAGTGACATACCATCATAGTGGCGGCTGCAGGTGTCTTTGCACGCTTTGGTCCGAGCGCCGCGTGCGGGCCGGAAAATCCCCAAGAGCCATTCTCCCTCCTGCTTGACGGGAGGGCAAACCTGTGCACCCACAGAGGGCAAGCATGTATGCCTTTGGCACTGGCCAAGGCGCTAATTTTCAAATGCAATCAAGGGCGTCCTTGAAATTCGCCCGCTCATGAGCAAGCGGCAAAGCTGCAGCTGACATCAGGGCTGCCTGAACTGGACTCGGTACTGTGATCTCAGGGGGGTCCTAGGTGCATTGTGCAGAGCATAATCTGAGAAAGGAAGGCACAAGGGCTCACTCACTCCGCCCCGCTCTACCGCACGCACCCACCACCCGCCCACCCGCCCACCCACGCACTCAAGCACCCACCCACGCAATCAAGCACGCACGCACACACCTCCGCCGCCTCATACTAAATGGCGTGGAAGCTGCGGCAAGCTCCAATCGCGGCTCATTGCTCCGGACGCGATGGGCCTGCGATCGCTGTGCCCACACGGCCAATTCACAGCCAAATTAGGCAGCTTAGCCGGGCAGCTTGCTCCGCTCCTTGCACAGCAGCAATCATATTGTTTTCCGCTTGCTTGTACTTGTGTCTTCTTGCGCTGGTCAAACTTGATTTGCCAGAAGTCGGCCTTTGGCCCGCTGACAAAGTGCTGGGGGTGCTCTGGGAGCTCACAGGGAATTTGAGAGCCATCCAAAACAGCGACTTTCAACTTCTGGAGTTCTGCCCTGACCTGGGCCGACGCACCATGTCTGAAAACAACAGCACCACTACCGAGGGCCTGCGTGTACCGCTTGGCCTGCTTCTTCAGCTTTCGCAGGATCATGCGATTCTGCGAGCTGGCGTGGAAGCATTTGCACTCCAGCCAGGTGAGGTTCTTGCCCTTCACCCTCACAGGTTCTGCGAATAGAACATCTGGAGTCGCTTCACCTCAGCAAACACTGAGCTTGAAAAGGAAGCAGCCAGAGTTTGTCGTGTTGCCTGCTTCCTACAATGTTATTACATTGGGCAGGGCACCACATGCAAAGGACTGCATGTGCGTCTCGGCCGTCCCTGTGCAACATGCTGAAGGTTCAATGCGGGTGACAGCCAACTGCGAACTTGAATGCCTTTCAGGTCGTCAACCCACCCAACCAATCACTAAGCAAAGGCCATTGCTACTGCGGATGGTTGCGACATCCATTTCGCACCTAAGAAACCATGGGAAACCATTGTTTGTTGACACTTACGGGCAAATCATCCACGGCTTTGGAACGGTGCCTAGGAGGTTTTCTCAACCATCCACGGCTCCAAGCCGCTTCCCTCGCTGCGGAGCTGCTGCTCTGTGCGCAGCTCCAGGCCGTGTCCGCGGCAGTGCTCGGCCACCGCGTCTTCGAAGGCTTGAGCGCAGGCACGGTTGGTCACCTGAAGCGCCTGGCAAAAACACGGCAAACTGGGCTTCAACAAACATTTGGACCCATCATTCAAGAAAAAAACTTGCTTCAACCAGACAAATGGACCCGTCATTTAAGTTGAAAACATGCGCTTCTTCAGCACCATGGTCCATCTTGGGCGGGCCTCCCCATCATTCTCCAGTGCCCAAACCAGCTCTCGCAAGACCCAGGGCTTCAGTGGCCGCTTCAGCTTGTGATCAATGAGTTCTTCCACCTCTGCTCGCCAGGCTTCCGAGTCCTTGGTGAGGCGCCGGCCCTTCAGCATTGCACCCTCCAGCACCCGGAAGAGCTGGAAGGGCGATCGGCCCTGCCTAGCAGGCTGAGTCCAAGAGCAACCAAAAAGTGCAACTACAAACTCGCCATGAGCAACATGCTGTAACATGACTTGGGATGAGGCACAGCTCCGTCGCCATCAACATGTGCTTGACTATCAGCGACGGCGGCAAGCAAAGCCCACGCGAGAGCACAGGCAAAGCCAGGCAATCTCTGGACGTGGCCTTCTGTTGCTCCTTATTGGCCCAGGTATTCCAATTGTCGTCTTTCAGGCGGTGGTTAAATCTCCATGCCGCCTTGATCTGCACCTCTCTTCTGAGAGAGTGGAGCATGCCCCCTGTAAGCGTTGCATCGGCCGTGTCTCTCAGCCGCTGCCGTTGCTCCAGCGACTCCTCCTTTGTGAGCCCCCTGAAGTTGAAGTCACGGCCCAATGCAGCAGAAATCGCTCTCTCTTGCATCTCCGTCAAGATTGGGCTGCTCTCCTACAGGGCATCTTTTGCATCGTCAATCATTTCTTAGTACAAGGAGATGTCCAGGTTAATGGGCTCAAAGGCGCACATCTTGAAATTGACTGGCATTAAACCCACTCCGAAAAGGGAACGTGCCTCAAAACAAACACACATATGTAAATATCTATCCATGTACACACATACAGACACATATGAGCCACGGCCCAAATGCCTTGTTCCACTAACGTGGGAAAACTCGTACCTGGCTGTTGTGGGAAACTCAAAGCTTGTTCGCTTTCAGGGGCAAAGTCTGCACTCCTCTGGCCACGGGAGCGCCTGCTTCCGGACACGGATGCGCCGGATGCGCCGGATCCGCTGGATCAGCACGGCTCCCCAGACCAACGTGACGACTGCAGGCCGGCGCAGCCCCGCCCCGCGCTGTGAGCGGTGCGATGCGCGTGACGCGTGGGACGCGTGTGACGCGTGTAGTGCCTGTGACGGTGGCGAAGGGGTGAGCGTCTGGCATGGCTGGAGCATGGCTAAGTCGGCCAGAAACCTTGGGGCCAAGTCGACATGCAGCTGAACAGTCAATCAAGCTGGAGGGTTGCTGTTTCTCATCCATCTGGGGACTTGGGATGAGCTAGTCAACTAGGCTGTCCGCGACTCCAACAAGCCACCACGCTCCACTGAAACTATTCAGGTACTAACACATGGATACCTTTTGTTCTGAGATTCGTTATTGGTGCAAGGCATGTTGTTCAGGCAGAAGGGCTAAATAGAGCGCCGGCGCGGCAATGTGCAAAGGAGCACTGCGAATTGTCCGAAAATTGCATGCTCGGCATTCTTGACTTAATGCATGTTCTCCTCAAATGGAACTGTTCACAGCTTCACAAGGAAGGGTACTGTAAAGCGGAGCTGGAAGGGGGAAGTGCTTGCTGCAAAAAGGTCCCAACCCACAACTCCTGCCATAGATTCAACCTGTGCCATGCTCAATGCAGCAAGAGTGCGTTGCATCCTTCACATGTTTTGATTTTGGGCGCAAATGCTTCCTAATGTTGACTTCTCTTCTTTAATACGGGGGTGTCCCCTGGTTATACTGCGGATTCAGCGCTTTTTAATTGGAACACCCCCATATTAATAGACAGACGTTTATTCAATCGGGGTCAGCAAGCTCCAGGCCCCAAACCTGGCCTTGCCAAGGTTGGGACAACGAGAGGAGCACCAAGCAGCCGTGCCCGTCGCTCGGCAAAGGAATCCGGACGGAGATCCTTCCTGGCGAAGTTCGCAACCTTCGCTTCTCGCCTTCTCCAAAGTGCATTTGACTTCTGCCAAGCAAACTCGACTGAGGAGCTGGGAGCTGGCTGTCTCGCTCGCAGCTCCTGGCTGTGGCCAAGGCAAAGGGCATCCAACCCGCTCCCCCCCTCTGCTGCCAAGCCACTTGATGCAAGTTTAGCTTCCGTGCGTTTCGCGCTTGTTGGTGCTTTCTTTTATCTAATGCTTGTGTGGGGCCTTTCGTTGCTTCTTTCGATTCTTTGGAGCCGACTTGAGACTTTACTGATGCCTCCTTGTCACACGTCTGCATCACGCAAATGCGAAAAGTAACATTTTGGTCACGCATGTCACACATTTCACCAAGGCAAGCTGGCAATATGGCTCGGTGGCCCGGATTTGCCATGTTTGCCTTGCAACTACATACGCATGCGCGCCACTTGCACCAACCGTGGTTGCGACGCCTTTTGCTGGGCGCGATGAACGGGCAAACTGGCAAATCCATGCTGCAAGCAGTGCCCAACTTCAGTGACATAATCAAAAGCAGAGTGAGGCGCCAGCCAACATCTTGACCAAAAATGATTGGTTCGGGGCGGGGGGGGCAGTCATCTGTAATTTCCCGAGCGAAGAGAGGAATGACCAAAAATCCAGAATGAAGAGAGGGATAACATGAAAAAGAGAAGGGACATGTTTTTCACCTACAGCATAGAAAGGTGGTTGGGTGAAAGGACATGTTATCTCTTTTCTCTTTCTTTCATCTCTTTCTTGTTCACTCGTTCACATTCCCTCTCTCCTTTCCAAGATGAAGAGAGAGGGAGTAGAGTGAGAGAGTATAAGAAAAATGAGATGAACCGCATGATGGCAGGGAATAAGGTGGCTCTACAAATCTTCTCTCTCACTCACTCACGAACGAGGTAACCAGTGAACAAGCGATGGTGAGTGATAAGAAAGGAATAGGAATGGAAAGGCAGTTCTTCTTCTTAGTTACACGCCTTTCCTTCTTCCATCTCGTTTCCTCTTCCTCATGTCTTCATCCTTCATGTTGATACGGAAAAACGAGGAAACGAGGAGAGACGGAGTAATGGGAAGGTAAAAGACAGGGAAGAGAGATAGAGTGAATAGAGATGCCTTCATTCTCCTACCAGCTACTTCTGGAGAATGCATCTCTCTTCACATTGTAACCTTTCCAATTCCAGCCGTGAATACCGTAGGAGCTGGGATGAAAATGATAGAAGGGAAAAGGAATGGGAACACACGAACGAGGGAAGTGAGTAACAGGCTAGTCCTTCCATCTCTCTGTTCTCACTCCCTATCTGTTTACCTTGTTACACCTGTCTACCTCAGAGATAGAGCGTAGCGGAGGGAGATATAGACAGGATAAAGAGATATCCAACATAATAATATGTCCTTTGCTCAAGTTCTTTTATTACGGAAATATTATATGTTGTCTGTCTTTTTCCTTTCTGATTCCTTGTCTGGTTCCTTTTGGGACATTAATAAACCCAAAATGAAGAAGTAACCAAACAAGCCTTCTTTCACCCATTCATTCGTGAGAGGAATGGAACGGATTCAAGAATATTAGTGCTTGCTATTTCCTTCGTCAGCAGACGGGAAATGGAGAGGCAAGGAAGATAAATCCGCCGACGCCAGTCCAACGTGTAGATGGCAGTCCGCAACTTGGTCTTCCTTCGGATCTCTTGTCAAAGCCGAAGGCTTTTGGGGCTGCCATTTTTTGGGCATGGTGTGCTGGGTGCCCACAACCCTGCAATTTTCCAGTGTTTTTGGGGCTTGCGTGCTAAAAATCTGCGTTTCGCCTAGGTCTCTGGGGGGGGGGGGGGGGGCCGGACGCGCAGGATCTGCATCCCCAGCATCATCAGGATTACCTTGCTGCCATGAATTTGTCTCTTTTTTGTGCAGATACAAATGTTCTGTTTCAAGCGATGTTGGAATCGACCTATTAGGGGTCTGGGTGGGGCAAAGTGCAGCGATACGTTGAGGAACTGATTGAATTTCCAAAAATGAGTGTTTTTTGCAATTCCCCACCTGTACGGAGCAGTTACTGCGAAACATCCCCTGCATGATCGTGTTTTTGGAAGTCTATTTTTAAGGTATTTGAGGGGGGTTGCTAGTATCTGCTTTTGATAGTTGATTTTGGGAACTATCAAAAAATCATGGTGTTTTGACTTTTTTGTAGCCAGCCGGCTGCATTCCCAGCATTCCCGGCATCTCTGGTATGTTCTGTGTTTGGTCAATTTTGCGTGTCTGAAAGTCTTGAAATGTTGGGTGCGAAGATTGGGTGTTCCAGTACGTTGTGTGGTTGCATCCCCTTGCGTTGCCAGCATCCTCAGCATCACTTCCATGAAAAAATGAAAAAAGGCTTAAAATCCACTGGCGTCTGCGGATCGCGTAGCGATTTCAACAATGACTAAAAATCTAGACATTAGAACATGAGAAAGGAAAAGTTCCTACAGAAAGGTTCTAATGTCAAGGATTTTACAGATAACCGTCTATAACCAAGAATTGACTGCAGGAAGAAATCATCCAAGAAGCATTCTATCTCTCGTGGACACTCACGAACGAAGAGAAGGCTTCTTCACTGTCAGGCCTCTCTCTCTCTCTTTCTTTTCCTCGTCTTTTTCCTTGTCTCATCCCTTCGCCAATCCTGAAGTCTCAGAAATAAATGAAAGAAGTGGAAAAGAAAGATACAAGAAATCCATGTCACTTCCCTTCTCGTTGTGTGCTCTCTTTTCCCTTCGTACCTCAGCTCATCCCTCGCCCACTTCTGGAGATTGGGAAGTGAACAGGCGCTATTACAAAGAGACGACCGAAGGAAGTGAATGGATCTCTGTCACCTCCTCTCTTCACTCTGTTACATTTGGAGGTGTCTAAAATAGAGATCCATTACACACATTCCTTCCTTTCCCTTCTTTCCCGTCTATATCCTCAGCATCTGGGATAATAGACGACAAAGGGAAAGAGGGAATGAAAGTAACTAGAGATGGAAGGAAGTGGGTCATGATGAAGACAGACCAAGCACTTCCTCACCGTCCAGAAGTTACATGCTATTTCTTTATCTTCTCCATCATGCCTCTTTTCACCCCATTCTTGATTGGGGATGAGGCATGTGGATAAAGAAAGAGATCCCATTCCCTATCTGTCACCGAAATTATTACCTCCCCCAACATATGAATTCTCCAGAATGAAGATGTGGGAAGGATAGAGATATGAGACAAACGATTGGAGGCATTTCCCATCTGTTAATCCTGGAAATTGGTAAGCCTCCATCATATTGTCGTTACAGCGGGTTCATCCGGACTGTCTATTACAACTTTAGAATGCTTTTCTCTGTCTTTTCCCTTGGTTTTCTTGTATTTGGCTACCTTTGGGGTTTTGTTCTTAGCGATAAGACCCTGAGAAGGATTACTTGTAGTAACCCCTGGAGCATTGTTATAACCATTGTAATAACCACTGAAGGATTGTCGTAACCGCTCTCTTGTCACTCACTTTTGGTTGGTTCTTGAGTTTCCGGAAGGCTCGCTATACAGAGTTAATTCTCAGAACCGTCTGGAAGTCCTTTCGGTAGCTGTAACATCATAATGTAAAAGAAATAGAAAGGAAAGATATAATGAAAGCTCACACATATCTATTTCTATTTTATTATCTTAGAATTATGAATTTATTATTTGTAACTGTTGCTTTTATTATATTTGTTTTCTATGTATTAATCTATTATCTTTATCTTTCTTCATCTCTCTTCTAAAATAGATGTAGCTTTTATGCCAGGTAAAACTCCAAGAGGCGAAGTGAGGAAGGCGAAAGAAGGAGATGGAACGACCAATAGATTTATTATTGACTTTCTTTTCCTTATTGATTTTTAATTTAGTTTCTGAAGTTAAGATCTTATGACAGAGATTATTAATAAGAAAACCAATGTAACTAATAAATGAAAAGATATTAAGATGAAAGGAATCATATTTGTCTTTTTTGTTGTATGTTCGCGCGTTTCCTGTTTACCTCGCTTTCCGGGTCTTTTCGCTTTGTAGTTGGTTCAGCAACTTGTCAAAGAAGAAAGAAATATACAGAAGATAATGAGAGAAATATATAGATAGAAAAGAAAGTCATTACGTTTTGAAGAACTATTTCTATCTCACGCAGTGGTTAGGTGGGGGAAGTAGAATGAAGATTACGACCGTTCCCATTCCCTACCATCATTCACGGTCTATCTTCTAATTCTCTTTCTCTCATCTTACAAGCGTTCCCTTGCTTCG